GCTTCTTTACAAGAATCAGAAACCGCCATGTACTCAGCCTCAGTGCTCGAGAGCGCGACAGTGCGCTGCTTACGGCTTTCCCAGGATACTATTGATTTACCAATACAGAATACATACCCTGTGTAGGATCTCCGATCCAATTGGTCTCCGCCCCAATCAGCATCGGCAAAACCTAAAATTTCAAGATTATGTTTTTCAAAGATTAGCGAGTATTCTGAGGTGCCTTTCAAATACCTTAAAACCCTTTTCGCAGCTTTGACATGACTCTCACCATGGCAATCATTGAATTGGCTCAAGTAGCTGACACTGTGAGCGATATCGGGTCTGGTACATACCGCTAAATACATTAAGCAACCAATTAAACTCCTATAATCAAAGTTGCAATTACTAACATTTCCCTCTCTTTGCAACTTTAATCCTACTTCCATAGGAGTTTTTACTTCCTTACAATCCGCCATTTTAAACTTTGTCAATATCTTCTTTATATAGCTGGATTGATTGAGAGTATAGCTACCGTTAGGTAATGTAGTAATTTTCATACCTAAGAATTGATGTGCCAGTCCTAAGTCCTTCATCTCAAATTCTTTCATCAACTTTTCTTTAATCAGCTTTCCTTTCTGAGATGTCTTAGATGAAAATAACAATATATCATCAACATAAATAGCTATATACAAAATTTCTTTACTATCGTTATATATATACACGCATGGTTCTGAAGAAAACCTCTTAAAGTGTAATTTCTTAATTAAAACATCATTAATTCTCTCATACCAAGCCTTAGCTGATTGTTTTAATCCATATATTGCCTTGTTAAGCTTATAAACCTTATTCTTATTATTATCAACAACAAAACCTCCGGTTGTTCCATGTACACATTTTTTCTTTAAAAATCCCATTTAAAAATGCTGTTTTAACGTCCAAGTGCTCAATTAACATATCGTACTGAGCAGCTAGTGCTAGCAAAATTCTGATAGTTGAGTATCGGACGACAGGAGAAAATGTTTCGTGATAATCTATCCCATATTTTTGAGTAAAGCCTTTTGCCACCAAGCGAGCTTTGTACTTTAAGATCTCTCCATCAAGCCCTCTCTTCTTGCAAAAAATCCATTTGCATTTTACAGGCTTATGGCCTGGAGGTAGATCTACTAAAGTCCAACATTTGTTTGTGATGAAAGAATCATACTCATCTTTTATCGCTTGTTTCCATGCTGTGAATCACTGCATCTCAGTGCTTCCTCCGCGTTAACAGGTAAGTCCTCCTCATGCATCTCTGTTAATCCAGCGAACTCATATGATTGAGCTTCTTCAAATGACAGCTCCCTAGAGTCCTCAGAGTCAATGCTTGATAAACCTGGAACATAAGTGGGGTCGGCCGAATCATCTGAGGCAACTAAATCTTCTGTTTCATCTAGATCAAACATAGTTTGCCTGCGAGGATTTATTTGGCCAACATTATGACATATAGACTCATCATTTACTGATGCATTTGACTGTGGAGATAACTGAATAGTTTTTGTAGGTAATTGTACTGAATTCGGACTTAGAGTACTATCTACAAAAATCTGTGAACTAGTTGAGTCTAAACCTAATGAAGTATCTTTATTTTTATTAACTTTACAACTATCACTATATGTTACATTTTTATTTAAAAAATTGGTTCTCCATGAACGTCACATGCCTCGCTTTAATGCACTTCTTTGGACAAAAAGGATCTATGAGCCTATAGCCTTTGCTATCATCACAATATCCTACAAAAATATATCTTTTGCTCCTAGGGTCCAATTTTCTAGCATTCTCAACGATGGCATATGCTACACAACCAAAAACTCGTAAATTTTCAATGTTCACCCTTTTTATTCGTCCATTTTTCTTCCGGTGTTACTCCCTTTATTGCCTTAGTAGGGGAACGGTTCTTCAAGTATACAGCCGTGTTAGCAGCTTCAGCCCAGTACCGTTTCTCTAAACCAGCGTCCTGGAGCATGCAGCGGGTCTTATCCATTATCGTCCTATTTGCCCTCTCTGCAACACCATTTTGTTGACTACAGTGTGGAATTGTAGTTTGATGCTTAATTCCATTTTCTTTTAAATAGGCCTGAAAATTTACAGAATTAAATTCTCCGCCATTGTCACTTCTAAAAACCTTTATTTTCCTACTTACTTCATTCTCTACCATAGTTTTAAAAAATTTAAATTTTTCAAATACTTGACTTTTTCTTTGAAGAAAGTAAATAAATGTTTTTCTTGTGAAGTCATCGATAAATGTTACAAAGTAACGTGCTCCACTCCAAGAAGGTGACTGCATAGGACCACACACATCTGCGTGTACCAGTCCTAGAATTTCGGAAGCCCTACTTTTACTTTTCTTTGGAAAAGGTAGCCTTGTCTGTTTACCTTCGAGACAAGCAGTACAAGGAATGAAAGTAGTATTTTTATAATTCATACCTGATACAATACCATTTTTCATTAAATTCATGCTCCGTGCATTCAGATGTCCGAGCCGCTTATGCCACAGTTCCTGTGATGCTGAATTCTGCACAATCGCCAGTGTAGAATCCTTGCTCTCATCTGAAAACACCGTACGCTCGCTCCCTCACGGACTGAGTTCATAGCAATCCCTGATTCTTGTTTTCTACTGTACTTCCTACTGTATTTCCTATTATACATATTTACAGTTTTAATAATGTCGAGTTCATAGACACCATTTCTACAAGTACCAGTAGCTATAACCTCCTTATCGTGCATAATTTTACAACCTAAATGACTAAAAATAACATAATAACCTTTCCTACCTAACTCACTTACTGATAATAAATTTACACTAAGTTCAGGTATAAAATATACATTATTTATAGTTTTAGTACCATTTACTAATTGTACCTTTACTCTACCCCGACCTTCTGTTGTTAATTTGTCCCCATTAGCTACATTTACCTCAAGTGACTTTACATCCTGATAATCATACATTAGATCTTTATTATTACACATATGATGAGTAGCCCCAGAGTCGATACACCATATATCACTGTGAAGATTCACACGTAATGCAGACAGTAACGACGCCTCAGGATTCTGCTTCCCAGTAGATTCTTGTACAGAATTATTTTTGTACACTTTCCTTTTACTGGTACAGTCCTTCTTCATATGTCCAGGTTTTTTACACTTGAAGCACACGACCTTTGAGCTCTTTTCTTTTCTAGTAGCTAATGCGTTGACCCCATCTTGACTCTTGTCATCTCGCCTCTGTTGCTCTTGCAGTAACTTTGACTTGACCACCTCACTTGTGAGTTTCATATTAGAATTTTCTAAAGCCATTATCATGGGATCAAAGTCCTCCGTCAAACCACTGAGCATAATTACAGCTAGAAATTCATCGTCAAGTGCGGATCCAATATCTGATAGTTGTTGCCCAAGCTCCGTAATTTTTAATAAGTAGCTTTGCATACCTTCCGTCTCGCACAGTTTCGTACCAAATAGCGACCTCAGTAATCCCAGTCGTCTGCATAGTCCCTTATCCTCGTAAGCACGCTCGAGATTATGCCAGGCTTCATAAGGACTCTTCGCATTGCGTACATGACCCAACGCTGATGGACCGACGGACAAACAAATTTTTGCTAACGCCTTTTGTTTTTTCTTCTCGTCTTTTTCATCTTCGTTCATTACGCAATCGAAAAGATCTTCATGCATTAAAATCATTTTTAGCGTAAACTTCCAATGATTATAATCTTCTAAGCCCTTTAGTTTTTCGACGGGAATATTATATGACAATGCCGACGCCATGTTTTATATTTTTGCAGATACTTTATTATATATTAATTATTTTATATATAAAATTTAAATGCAAATACTATAAATATACTGAAAATATGCGAATATACGAAATTATTTTAACTTTAATCAACGGTCTGGGCCCATAACCTGATGGATCGGTACAATCGTATATATAAGAATAGTAAAGAGGAAGGGTTGTCACGGTTGACGTTCAATATTCAAAATATATATTTTTCTATTCATTTATATCATGTGCCAACACCTTTAACGGTCATGTCAGTAACCAGGGAATTTTAGCCTAGGTCGTTTGTTTTTGTGTCAGTCTCAAGCACTTACTTGTCAACAAAACATCTCCCAAAAATGACTAAATGTTCTGTTAATTGGTGTAAAAACTATAACGGCGGAAGCAGCACTATTTCTTGTCACTTGTAAATACATTATTTTATTACATTTATTGTTATTTATCACAAAATTTAATTAAATGTAAAATAAAATGTCATATTATCCAACTATGTTAAATATAGTCGATATTTCTATGTATTGTTGACATCTGACAACCATCATAAACGGGCAGGATTATACCATTCAGAACAAATGACAAAACTGTCGTGTGAGTCCATTTGACATCGTCTAGTGCTTGACAATGTCGAAAAATATATCGATATTTGAAATAACTGAACGAATTGTGTTATTTGTACAGTACAATAACATAAAATACTTTTATCACAGTATCCTACAAGCTGATGACAATAAATTTATAAAAATATTTTCTAAATCAAATAAAAATATAAATGCAAAAATTATAATTAGTATGTGTAGTTAATTTTTTATTTTATACCACATTTATATACTTTGGAATATTATTCCATTGTAATAATAATAAAGATCATTTTATTTCAACACATAAATTACACAAAATCAAACATTAATGTTTTAGCACTAAGCTTCGGGGTTGGCGATTTGTAATAAAACACTTTACCACTTGCACTAATTATTTTACTTTCACGATCCAACACTCACTTTTTCACAATTTGCAATCACTTTTTCTTTTTCCTAATTTCACAAATGTTTATTAAGAACTGAGCAATATTAGGGCGTTCATTCGGCGTTCGGTTGTCTTTACAAGCGCACGCGTACACTAAGCTACTCTGTATAACGTACAACCAACTTAAAGTGATGGGCTAAGGAGCTATCGATAAGTTATTATCGATAGATTACTCCTTAGTCTCATCATGGATAAATTCTTAACCAGATCGTCATCTATTCCAAACTTAGTCAACAAGAGACCAAGGGAAGATGGAACCTCCTCAGACCAATGGCAACAGCCAAAGAGGTTTTTCACCAACTCCAAAGAAACTTCTAAGGATAGAGAAATACCAACCAACAACCGATATCGAGGCTTGCCTGTAGATGACCAAACCTCAGAATTCTACCTAAAGGCTACCAAGAAAAAGGAAGTTAACAATACTCCTCCAATAATTATCGAGTTACTCGGTGATTGTACTCATCAGAAAATTAAAGACTTAATCTTAAAACATATAAAAGATTTCCATATGCAATATAAAGGTAGAAACATTGTAAGAGTGCAATGCTACTCCGCTAAAAATCACCAGCTTGTAAAAGATTGTCTACTCAAAGAAAATGTGGCCTTTCATACATTCACAAGAAAAGATGAGAAATCTCCGAAAGCGGTGATTAAAGGCTTACCAAAATCAGTGCATGACACCCTTCCCACTGAACTAGCCTCAATAGGTTTTCCGGAATGTATCGTATCCAAAATCAAAACCCTGCGTCCAACAGAATATCCACCTGTTCTTGTCCAGTTACCAAGAGGGACGGATATGACTAAATTTAAACAAATAAAATATGTGATGAATTGTGTCGTCGAAATCCAACGTTATAAACCTAACAAAAAATTAGGCACCCAATGTTTTCGGTGTCAAGGCTTTGGCCATGCTTCCAGAAACTGCAATAGGCCGGTTCGATGCGTAAAATGTACACTTGCTCATCCTACATGGGAATGTCCTAAGAAAGAAAACGACGGACCAGCCCGATGTTGCAACTGCCAAGATAATCACCCCGCCAATTATGCTCAGTGCCAAGCACGACTACAATATATTGAGCGAATCCAATCGAAACGTGAAACTTTACGTAAGGCTGTAATTCCCGAAATTACTAATCCAAAAATTAATCTGCCTGGCATGTCCTGGGCTAAAGTCGCAAGTTCAGGTAAGAAAGATCAGACCAGACCAAGACCTGTAACTCCAGTAGATGTAGCTAAAAAGACACTTCTGAGGAATACTGCCTTTTCTCAGCACGATACGAATACTTCGGATCCTGTAGCAAAGACTTCCCAGGATTTTGAAGCCTCAGAAATGCTAGAAATTCTCACTGTTATAAAATCCATCAAAAAAGAATTTGCCAAGTGTAAAACTTTCATGGATAAAGTTATCTTAATTTTAACTCATCTTGGGCATTATGTTTAGTTGTCATGAACTTCGCATTATGTATTGGAACGCTGATGGCGTTCACAGTAAGCAACAAGAATTAGCTGAACTTGCGGTGAGTAAATTTAACGTCGACATAATTGCTCTTTGTGAAACTAGGCTAACTGACCGCCTCACTCTCAATATACCTGGTTACTGCTGTTATCGTATAGACAAACGTGTTAATAGAATCGGTCAAGGTGTAGCTTTACTTGTTCGTTCGGATCTAGATCATAGCTTAGTGTCTGCTCCTAAAACTCAGAATATTGAAGTAATTGGCATTTCATTAAAACTTACTAATTACAATGTTATAATCTATTCAGTTTACCAATCTCCAAATCTCCCTCTCCTGACTAACGATATAGACTTAATTTTATCATCTGGTTCCCGAGTCCTAATCATGGGTGATATCAATTCAAAGCACCCGCTGTGGTCACCTGGGCCAAGTAATACCCATAGTAATAAGCTTTACGAACACATGCTTAATAGTGATTACGTTATCCATGCTCCACATGAGTCAACACTTGTGCATTACCGTGTAGAACACAAACCATCCCTGCCTGACATTCTTCTAAATAAAAATTTCAATTTTCTCTATAATATTGTTACTATCCCAGCATTATCTTCTAATCATTTTCCAGTGTTTGTTTCATTTAAAACTAAATTTAATCGTCATCCTATTAAAAAATTGAACTATAAAAAGGCTGACTGGTCAAAATATCGTAATTTTCTTAACAATAATATAACACTATCTCCTAAAATATATAACAATACAAATGAGATTGATTCAGTAATTGTTGATTTTCAAAACTTGTTACTAAAGGGCAGAGACTCTTGTGTCCCCATTACTTCCCTAAAACCGTGGAATATTTCCTCCTTCCCACGACGTATTAAACGACTCATTCAGCTTAGAAATCGTTTTCGCAGGTATGCAACCTTAGAATCAAACACTTTATTACGTAAAATACTAATAATTAATATTAATCAATTAAACTCTCAAATAAATCAAGCCATAAGCGCCTATAATGATAAAACATGGAATATTAAATTAAAAAGGGTTGATAATCCCGGGTCTGACCTCTGGCGACTGGTGAAAAGTATCCGCTCCACCACAACCTCTCCTATCTCGAAATTAAAATGTGAAGATGGCTCGTTTACTTCAACCCAACAAGAACAATGTAACGTTCTTGCAAATACTTTCGAAACTAACATGCTTTTAACTCATAACTGGCAAAGTGATATCATACCTACTATTGACCAATCCATAGCTGAACTTAACGAAAGTACGTCTAATGAAACCATTAAGCTTGTTCGCCCAGTTGAAATTAAGAAAATTATATATAGTTTAAAGCCCCGTAAAGCCCCTGGACCCGATCACATCAGTAACATACTCATTAAAAATCTCCCACAAAAGTCTATTGTTCTCTTAACTAAAATATTTAATTCTTGCCTTATGCTTAATTATTTTCCAACTCCATGGAAAGTTGCGAAAGTTATTGCCATACATAAGCCGGGTAAGGATGCAACAGATCCCACCTGCTATCGCCCAATTAGTCTTTTACCCTGCCTTAGCAAGCTTTTTGAAAAGATAATCTTTAAACGATTACTTCGTGTATCCGAACATCATCTCATTGATGTGCAATTTGGGTTTCGTCGAGGCCATTCCACAGTCCAACAACTTGCCAGAGTTGCTGAAACTATTTCCCATAATTTAAATTTAAAACAATCAACGGGTATGTTTCTATTAGACATAGAAAAAGCTTTTGATACTGTCTGGCACAATGCCTTACTTCATAAACTCATAAGACTTGGGCTGCCTTTTCCGCTTATAAAAATCATCCAGTCATACTTAAATGATCGCAGTTTTCGAGTCCACATCAATAGTTACTCATCTATCTCAAAATCAATACCCGCAGGGGTGCCACAGGGCTCAATATTAGGACCATATTTGTTTCTTCTCTACCTAAACGACATCCCGGTTCAACCACGGACAAGTTTAGCCTGTTTTGCAGATGACACAGCCTCTTTTACTACCTCCTCAGATATAAACTTGATAATAGATCGACTTCAACTCTCCATTGATCAACTTCTATTCTATTTCCATAAATGGAAGCTTAAAATAAATGCATCTAAGACAGAAGCTATTCTATTTACTAGAAAGCGAACTTTACCATCTCGAACGCTGAAAATTGGAGGGTATACTATACCTTGGAGCAAAACAGTTAAATATCTTGGTTTAAAGCTCGACAGTAAACTCAACTGGACCGAAAACACTTGTACTCTACGACTTAAAGGTATTAAAGCATTAAATGCCCTAAATCCAATCTTAAATAGGCGCTCATGTCTAAGTAGTAGCACAAAGCTACGTATTTATTGCACCCTGATACGTCCATGCATTACCTACGCATGCCCCGTATGGAGCGGCACCTGCAAAACGAACATTAAAAAGCTACAGACTTTACAAAATAAAGCTATCAAATATGCCTTTAATACTCCCTTTCGCACTAATTTCCACAAGTTACATTATCAAATAGGTCTTCCAACAATTGATGTTTATATTTATAAATTATCCGAAAAGTTCTATATCCATCAAAATACTAACCACAAAAACAAACTAATAAATAATATATGTAAAAGTCGTAAAAATAATTCCTTATGTCGATAAATATAATCGATACAAATTGCCGCATCACTTATTCCTAGACTATGAACGATTTGTATAGGAACATTCGTCAACACAGGCGCGTGTGCTCTTGCCGCCGCCGCGAGTGCTATTCCCGATCTCATTACCGTGTGATATAAGATCGGAAATAGCGCGCGCGCCGCGGTGCGGGCTCACTCGCCTGCGTGTGCGATAGATAACATGTTACGTTCTTGTTGCTTACTGCTGACTGCTTTTAGTTGGTATTTTATTTACATCTACCGACCACGGTTTATTTTTCTTTGTATAAAATTATGATATAAATGTAATCGCTTTTCTATAGCCTACATACTTTAAATGATATACTGTTCAATTATTAATAAATATTATTTATATGCACATGTTACCTTTTGCTATAAGTTTTATATAAGTTTGTGTACTTGTTAAACAAATATAATAGTATTTAATATGTACTTCTAGGATTAAATTTACACTAGAAATGTACTTAATTTAATAATTTATGTGGATTAAATAAAGAATATTTTAAAATAAAAAAATAAAAATAAAATTGCCAATAAAATAGTTCAATAATAGAATCAACAAAATCACTTTATTTAATTAAATTAGCTTAATATTTTTTTTAATCTTTACAAAATAATATTTATTATATATTAATGGAATATGCACCCGATAATCATTTGTTTATTAACATTATTATAGGCCAACAGAATGTTGCCATCAATGCCATCGTATTTATATAAATCAAATTAAAAAATAATTATTATTTGACACATTATTATTGCCTTTTTAATTCATTTATTTTAATTTATTATAATAAATACAGATATTTTAAATTAAAAGATGTAAAATATGATGACTATGCTAACTAATGTCTAATATGTCATTCATTGGTTCATCGATATATGTATTTCATCGATTACGTTCAAGCACTAGAAATATTGTATTGTGTATCAGTGTTTATAATAATATAATAAATCTTTGTGTGCGTTATGCGTCACTTGGTTGAACTAGTTTTCATACATTTGTATTTTATGTCAGGTCCAGTCTCTAATTCGTCCATGGATATAACATTCAACGAGCCAAGTGATTTAAAAAAGCTCTTGAGCTAAAATTTTATGTTACATATTGTTTATTGCATTTTTATTTAAAACATCAAGAAATACGAGTAAAAAACCTTGTAAGTATATTTCAAAAGTATCATAATAATAAGTTCGAAATAATTATACAGATAATTTATATTATACAAATAATTTATATTAAATATAAATTAAAATAAAAATTTATATTAAGATAATTTATATTAAAACTACAGAAAGAACTAAAAAGATAGGTTTCATACAAACTTTCATCCAATATTTTACCCCCTTATGGGATGAATTTCGAAAAATGCTAAAACACGTATTTATTTTATTGTATTGAAGAGCATTAATACCAAGTTTCAAGTAATTCTGATCATAAATATTTTTTTGGGTTGTATTATAACGTGTTTTCCCGTAGAAATGAGATAATCTCCCGCGATAAAAAGTAGCCTATGTTACTCTTCAGCCCTCCAACTATATCCACACAACAATCAAGCCAACCCGTCACTCCGTTTCGACGTGAAAGAAAGACAAACAAACAAAAAAACAAACAAACACACTTTCACATTTATAATATTAGTATGGATACAATCGTCTTATCAAATGTGTTAAATGAGTGATTGATACAACATATTAATGTACATATTTTTTGTGAGAATTGGTATGTGTGGTCACCTCAAATCGTCAAAGCACTCGTCTCTTTCTCGTATATAATGCACCGTTAAACAATTGCGTGGGAAGATGTTACGAAGAATACATAGAAAGTTGTCGCATGTTTTGGATAGATAAGCATACCTATTACCTACATAATGTTACAAAATAGAAGAGATAGTATATGTAGCACAAAACGTAATGAAATTGTTGTTCATATATGAAGGGTACAGCTAAAGAACGGGGAACGTCCTAATGAATAGAGTATGAGAAAAAAGCTATTTATAGTTTAAAAGTATAATACTTTTCTTGAGATCAAAGTATGCAGTAACTTTTTACTATATTGATTTTTGGACAATCCTCCTTCTTTACCGGTATGTCATGGACATTCCCAGTTCTTTTCGCTTTGCGCATAGATAAAATAGTATTTTTGTCGACATCCGTTGAATATTTGTAATAAATAAAAATCAGTGGTTGGAAATGCAAGTACCGTGGACATAGATTTGTTACCAGTACAAAACCTACCCTTCATTTAAATTGAGCTTTTATCATTTACATTTTCTAAATAATTTGGAAATATCTTTATTTTTGAACTAAACAAATGATTTCATTACATATAACATATAATTCTCTCATGAAAATGTTATTTATTACAGACTAATAAATCAAATATGGTCCCAATTACTGTAATTAATAACTGAACTTTAGAAAGTCATCGCGAAATTAAAATCTAACAATTAAATAATATCTGCGTAAACGAGACTTTCCAATGTAACCTGTAAATCCAGTTATTTTTAAACTTATAAATCCACAAAACCGAATCATACATATATTAATTGCATCCGCGTAGTGGAAGCTGTCAATTGTCAAATGAGAAATTGACACGAAAACAAATTTAATCCGACTTAAAAATTAAAAGCTCAAATAATATATCTTTAATATACTACTTTAATAATCATGGACATAAATTATAAACACCCTAAAGCCGTTAAGCGTACAAAGTTTTACATAAATATTATAACGATAACTGTTTATATCTTCTCCCTGTAAGGTACTAACAAGTTTTATCCCTCAAATACAAGCGAGTAAGAACTAAGAACTAAAGGCCATCGCCATAGCTATTAGCTACGTATGTATGTTTGGACTTTTGACTTGTTTATTTAATATTCGAATCTAATGTCAAGGAAACTTGGATAATGTCAAAAATGACATACAATGCAGGTGTGGATATTCAGTCTAGTGATGATGATGTTCTCCTGACCGTTTCGGCCACGGCAGCCAATCTCATTGAGACTAGCCAACTGCGCAGGAGATATTATAGTGCAGAAGTGTACGCGCAGACACAACGTGCACTCTCTCTCTGTACATGAAATATTTTTTCAAAAATAGGGACTGTAACGTATTTTGTACAGAATATAGAACCCACAACAATCTGTACAAATAATAAAACTGTAGAGTTCGAATGTCTGTACATAGAAAAAAAATGCTAAAAACCGAGTCAGGGGGATGTAAGAAGTGAAATAGAACAAATCCAGTTTTTTTTTTTCATTTTTTGTTTCGATGTCTTTGCATGGTGGTACCATAAATCCCCGGTCAGCATTTTAGATACTTTTCATCTCGGAAAATTAAAGAGTTCCCGTTGGATAGTTAAAAAACTATAGTAACTTATACAGTTTAGTACACAACAACATAAGCACCAAATTTAGTAAAATTTGGCACGCTGATACCTTATTATATTGTCGGTCAAACAACAGATTAGTTTTTATTCCGGAATAAAATTACGGACAAGTACGAGTCGGACTCGCCCACCGAGACACGGACAGACAGAAGGACAGACGGACAAGAGGTACACTCGCAATAACTATAAATATCTATTTAAAACATACTTAGGGACGCATCCGAGCGAAGCAAGGGTAAGTCACTAGTTTAAATAATAAAAGTATTATTCACCAATAAAAAACGTTAACTATCGATGAACAAAACTGTTATGAATGAGTTTTGTTATTTAATACCTATCTTAGCCAGTGTACCTATATTTATTATATTTTTAGAATCTGTCTATGGGTAAATGAAGCTTATTGTTTTGAAGCGTTGAGATTTACACGCCAATTTAAAAGATTAATGTACCGTTAAAAGGCACTTCAAACTCCTACTAATGTGTAATTTGAATACTTTTAAAGTTAAATTGAAGAGCATGTATATGTAAGTGTCTAGTCAGACACTCGAATGAAACATCATGTTGATTTGACAGATTTATCGGATTACAAATTGATTAATTACTAAAATATATATAATAAATATATCTAGATAATATAAATAGACAGACAAGTTATACGTTAATACTTTTATATAATTGTATTAATCGCTATTGTAGATAACTATAATAATAGGCAGTGGTAACCAGTGGTAACGCGCTCGCCTCAGAAACCGAGTGAAGCAGGTTCATATCCTAGTATTTTGATGTTCGAATCATTGCCAACATGATTACCATTTGTCTTACGGTGAAGGAAAACATCGTGAGGAAACCTGTATATCTGAGAGAAACTAGCAAGTTGTGGAAAGACATGTGGAGTCTGCCAACCCGCACTTGGCCAGCATGGTGAACTATGGCCTGATTACCCCTCGTATCGTAAGGGAAGCCCACCACCCAGTAGATGGACGTTAAAAAGGGCTGAATACAACGTGTAGCGATAGTAGTAGATAATCGTCGTGTCACAAATAATAATCTTTATTCCTTATGTCAGTACATGAAACATTGATCTACGCACTTCGACAAGTTATTATCATAAAGAACGCGAGTGTAGGATGCAAATTATTACAAGGCCTTCAAGGCTGAGTGTTGCACGATAGTTGCTGACCAACCTGTTGTATTAGATTCCGGTAACTTAATATTTAAGTAAATTGATAAAATAAAAAATATGAAAAACACGATGAGAATATACAAAAAATGATGGAATCATTAAAATTAGGAATTAAGTTTTGTTTAGAAGAATCTTTAATGTAATTTAAATACAAAATACCTATCATGGCACATTCAAGACTTCAGCGTTAGTTTTGTAAAATTATATACAAATGTATATAATTATTAATTTTATAACTTTTAAAACACTTTAACATCTTTTAAAAAAATTAAAGTATTTTTCTCGAGAGATAAACTTATGAACGATAGCAATGTTCTAATGACTGTGCGTCATACTGCGCCCCATGCGATATAATGGCAGCTACCTATTATCTTTCTAGTTTTAATAGTGTTTCAACATTATTGTTATTTGTCAACCGAAGCGCGAGGTGCTTTTTATTCTACACTGTAGCTGTTTGCCTTGAAATGTGGCTGTATATTGTATATTTGAAAAATACTTATAGGCAAAATGTTGACGTTATTGTGAGATAAAAAACTATGATTAGTTTTAAATGAGTAGGTACTAAACCTAAATCTACTGCTACACTTACAATAAAAGGTCTGATTTCAATAATGTTTGAAAATAAAGTTTGCATCTTGTGAAGACATATTATATTCCTACTTTACGGAGGATACTCGTTACTACTAAATGTATTACGATACGGGGCTATTATTTCTTCCACTTCGGACATAATTTGCAGAGAGTTTAGACGCCATACTTTGCAGACGTAAGAGGATACAATGTTGATCACACAAGTTCCTATGAAACCATATTGTAGAGAGCGGATCTATTTTTAAACAAGATTAATTTATAGGGATTCTTTAATAAAAACTATGTGTTATGGACGACTTGAGTTCTTGAAACGTCGCGTGAAGCATGAACATGAGACGGATTAAATGTTATCTGCGCGTCTGCATTTCCATTGTGTAACAAAATAGGGAAATAACAATCAATGTTTACATATTATGTACATATACTTTCCTATGCCTACTTTTTTTATATAAGTATTTAGCCCTTATTAACGTCCCACTGCTGGGCATCAGCCTCCGTTAAATGCGAGGGAGATCAGGCTAGTCCTTTAAGCTGGGCAAGTGCAGGTAAGTGGACTTCACACGTCTTTCTAGAACTAGTTGGATAGGTACTCTCGAACATGTATTTCCTCACAATGTTTTCTATACTGTAAGGCAAGTGGTAATTATGTTGAAAGATTCGCAACTAGATTTGGGATTTGAACTCGCTTTTTTTGTTTTTTAGGAGAGACAGTTACCAGTTGGATATAAAGTCGATTTTTTTAAGTACATTTACCACCTTCCTGGCATGCCAGGCCATGGCGTGGTTGATACAGATTTGTGAAAAGACGTAGGTGGTCGAGAGTTCATTTGTTGTACAAACGAGTGTTTGTTAGCATTAGAGATATTTTTCATTCCGGTACATACCATTGTTTCCCTACGCGCAACTTACGGAGGAAAACGATGTGTAATAATTAATTAATTATTGAAAGCAACTTAGCCGTAACTGAGCAAAAATAAGTAAAAATTAGTAAGATAAAACCGTTAAAAATTTCGATAGCAAAATTAACCAACATGAAAACTTAAAAATAAACTGATGCTAATATCATTATTCGTAACTAATGCCCGTCATTTATTTATAAAAATATTTTAAAATTGCTTAATTTACATTGATAATATCTTAATTAAATTAATAAAAGTTGAGAAATAATTCCGTCGATAAGTGTTTTAATAAAGATTGCGACGATATCCTCGCGTGAATGTTACATCCAATTAATAGTTCGTCCTACGCAACCACGGCTTATCGTAAATAAAGCACGCTTTACTTATTAGCGTTAAGCTTATCTTTACTTAAAAAATTAAATACTTAACTTATTCCGAAAATGAACATGTTATAAGGGAAAAATATTATGCGTTTTATTATTATATTAGCGACTCAGCCTCGCTCCGCTCGGGTTTGTTCCTAGATACGTTTTAACGTTTAGTATAGATTACTCAAAGATGAGATATTTTCCTGCAGTAAAAAGTATCCTATATGTTGACCCGGATAACCAGCTATTATCATACCAAATTTCATTAAAATCCGTCCTGTGAGTTTCTCGTGATGCGTTCCCAGGCAGACAGACAGATAGACAAAAATGCTAAAAAGTTTAGATTCGGCCTCTATAGTCTCTACCGATAATAATGACTATTTCAATAAGATTTTCCCAGAAATATTTAATGTACATATTCGACTCAAAATTTTATTATATGTATACATTGAGATTAAAATATGTGCCTATATAGAAAAATTGTAATTAATACTTTTTAATGTAATCGAATATTTAGATAATTGTTTGAGTATAAATAGAAGTTAAAACTTATCCTCAAGATTTAGGTGAGATAATCACTAATTAAATTTTTATCCTATTTCTAAAGTTGTTAAAAAAAATGACAATATATGAATTTGTATAATAATTGGTACTATCGATAATTTTGAGCTAAATTTAAAGAACCGAGATAAGTTTTAGCTGAACATGGATTTTCATTATAAATGCCCTTTTAGATCATTGCATATATCTGGGAAAACGACGTAGTAAAAAGGTCTACCTATAAAAGACATAATAAAATAGTAACAGCTTCCTTAAAACATGCCAGTAGGTAGGTACTGGATGCACCCTAATCGCTAGCTACATTACGATAATACGCGATAAACTCAAATGCATGTACAACATCTGGTTTTCAATCTGCAACCATGCCTGTTTTGGTACACATTTATTTATTTCATATGCTTTTTATACTCGACTGTTTTCCGCATTGCTCTACTTCGGACATCCAATTTCATAGAAACGATAGATAAGAGAAATGGTGTTTTTTTGTGATGATGGCTTTTAAATTATTGAGATCAACAAATTATTTTTTTGTTTGTAATTGATGCAGGTCTAACATTCATATTAGTGTATATTAAGAAAATTTTATATTTCTAAGAATATTCTACTACATTCTTAAAGTCCAATGTTAATTTTTCATAGAATCCCTCAACGACCGCGGGCACACCGGTGTTACAGTTAACAATGAATTTCTTAGAAATTTATTTCTTAGAAATTTACCTGGAGGTGTTAATAGATACATTGACATTATTCTTGTACATAATCAAGTTTCCGATCTATTTTCGTGACACGGTGATCAACTGTATACGGTATAACACGTCTTATAACGTTTATCCAGGATGCGAAGCGTGTTCCACATTTTTTTACGATGTACGCGTAAATATTTTACTTATATATTTTTTCCAAAGTTTATTTTCTTGTGAATTTACTACAATATTTTGCTTTTCGTTTTGAAAGATTTATACTCCGTTTCTGGCCTACAGTACAAAAAAGTGATAACTTTTTAACAACGTTATCATTAACTTTATGAACTTTTTAACACCATGTAATTTTAAAAAGTTTGTAAACGACGGATAAAATATAATGCAGATAGAGCCTTTTAAGTAGGTCGTAACGTATAAATAATATATAATTTCCCATAAAGAATAACGAAATTATTCGCACATATTTCACACATACGTGTGAATTAAAATTATGTATAAAAACGTACGTATAATATGTAGAAACACGCAAGTCCTTCGTTCGTAAACTATCCCCATGTACATTATCTATTTGTAGTCATTATCATATCTCTAGGACTAACAACTGTACGTAGTAGAGGGCCGTAAATTATTTAACGTAATGGCTTGTTAATGTACCGTGTCTATTAAAGAAGGAATTCGTAAGTGTTACGATTTTTACAACGCCTTCAATCAATATACACACATAAATCAATATCAACCCGGAAACGATTATGGAATTTGGTTATGTTATATTATAAAAATAAAAATATGACTAATATTTCAGAATTTTCATACATACCCACAAAAATTACAAACGAATTGAGTAACTCCTTTTTGTGGACTCGGTTAAAACGTCGTCGATGTATGCGAAAAGAGTTCAGCAACATTGGTGCAAATTCGTGGATAGACGATATTTTTTGAATACTTTTATGATATATATGTATGAAGTGATATTCGAAGAATATAACTTTGTTGCAAAATACTTTCTTAGATTTACGCAAATATTTGACATTTTAAATAAAACTATCTTTTCGTATTATTTCGCGGATTTACTTTGATTTTTGGTTGCCGACGTTTCGAATGCTTTACAGTAATCATGGTCACGGGAGAGACCGAGGTGTTAGATGTCTCGAAGGTATAGTTGTTACGGACCTTTCAAAGGACGGCTAGTGTTAAACAATTAAATGTACATATTTTGTCCATCGAAACATAATTTTATACAATAATCCCGTCCCGGCTTATAAAAGTCAAAGGTCATGCTCAAGTTATTCAAGCTAGAACCAAAACGCACTTGACCGATTTCTTAACATAGAGCACGCTTAATGAATATTCACACACGAGGTTATCTGTCGTATATAGGTATACCGAGTAACAATAAAGGCTAAATTAAGACACGTGCACACTAAATATAATTTCTTATTGAGCAGGAAAATAAATAAATGTTAAACTTCGTCTGTTAGTTTGTTTTTGTAAAAACCACTGAATTAATATAATTTTACCTTTTTTTACAAACTGTGCAGAACAGGCTTCGACATGGCTGAACGAATATTTATGTCAGCTGACAATTAATTTGTCTGTTCAATGGGAGTACCATAAATAATTTTGAAGATAAAGTTGGTAATATTAAGTTTATACCGAGTACCGACTAATGCTTTTTATAAAATGTCATTGAATGATTTTATTTTCTCGCATCTGGATTTCTTACAGAAACTTAAAGAAATAAGCTATCCTTCGTCCACACTTTGTTCGTATATTTGTTAAACTTTTATAATAGGTACCTACATAAATAAATTAAAAAGAAATAGCGGCCGAAAATATAACCTTTTCTTTTTGGAGGCCGTTTAAAAATACGGCAAAACTTACCATTTCCTTTTTCAAATAGACCAACTGGGAGTCAAGATCCGTTGGGGGGCTGTCTTCCGAGGGGGCCGGCGCGGGGGGTTCCGTTAGGTCCGGCTCGCCGTCAGCGAAACCGCTTAGACTTTTTGGCAACGGCGGCAGCCCTTGTAGCGACATCGTACTGATCGCTCGAAACTGCTTACGTAGTCTGTTAAAATAAACGTTTTATAAAAACTAAAGTTAAATATAGAAAATAGGTAGGTACTGATTTATGTTATAATATAAGTTTTAAAGAGAACATATTTTGAGAGACCTTAGTTGATTGGTTTCGTTTTAAAATAAATAATCTATGACATGTATCTAAAAAAGAATTATTAGATTTGCGCTGTCTTGGAATCGAACCAAATATCATAAAATTACAAATAAAAATTTCGAAACCTCGTAATATTTTAATGTACCTACACAATATCTTATATGAAGTTCTAAAGTCATCGTAATCAACAAGTCAGTGTTTCAGCGATACACAATAGTGATATAATTAGAGGCTTGTCTGGGCGCCTGGTGCATTTGACCTTTAATATGCACCAGAATTTAAGTGATGTGTCGTCATCCCGTACGTGAACAACAACTCTTATATTATGAATGTATACTCGTACATAGATACATAAATACCATGTATTAAAACAGAGCGGCATTAAAAAATATAATTTTATAATCCTACTTGAAACTTAATTTTTAAGGTCGTTTTTACAAAATGTAGTTATTAAAATGAAAACGTCATGCAATTTCTAACTCTTATAAACATTAAATATAAAACGATCTCATTTTGCAAACAACAATTTCAATGTAATAGTTATAATTTAGTGTGCCTGAAAAGCTCTTAACTTGTAAGGCTCGAGTCAACACTATAATGTTTTTAAATCATTTTGTATAGGTAAGTTGGTATGACTCGTGTTTGAGAAAAATTGGAGGATAGTCTAGAGATATCCCGTGAAGGTGATTACACTTCTAAATTATGATTAGGATACTAATTAATTATCTTCATTTACGTTCGAAGTTCGAATCAGCTAACATTTTTAATATATTTTATCTGTAGGTACATACGTGTATAATATAAAAACTTTTTAACAAAAAAAAATAAAAACCGACTTCAAACAAAAGCACTAAAAAGTAAAAAATAACTGATTGGTAGTTTTCATTTACTATACATACCTAAACAAATATTTTCGAAGTCGGTGTGCTTTGCTTTATATGGGCTGGCACCGATTTCGAAAATATTTGATTAGGTATGTATTTAATAGGTAGGCTTTAATTACTTAGCCAAAAGCTGATTTTTATATATAATACTTGGGTAATAATTAGATGATTTATAAGACTGCTGACGTACGTAATTTTTCGTATAACGAATTACGAACGGCACTAGGATATATTATCAGTTAAAAAGAAATATGATGTTAACAAAAATAATTTTACATATTTTATTATTAATTATAATTTTAAATTGCAATTACTTGAATGCTTCATCACTTCGTCACATCGTTCTTAGTATCTATCGGAAAAGAAGTTTATTATTTAATTTACAACTAAACTTTCACTGGAGTTATGTGGTTAGTATATAATATATTTATTGAATTTATTTAATTATTTAAAAAAATATACCCACTTAATATAGTTATAACACGATAGTGATCTTTCATTGTATACCTAATAGAAATAATAAATGGTTTCCTGCTATCAGAGCAATTTTCTTTTCATAGACATTCACTAAACCTTGCAATTCGTTTGAAGTATTCAAGTATGACACTTATCGATTTTTATCATAGGTGTACAGTAGGGTGGGCCAAAAAAACTTTATTTTTTTTATTCTTTAGCGATATTATGAAAATATCGCTCAAGATGACGAAAAAAATGTCTAGTAAAGTTTGAGTTCTTAATATTAATATTAAGAGGTGGCTCATCGTAATTTTTGATTTTCCATATATATAACATGGAACATTTTTTATTTTACCGCGCTCTTTTTAGCGCATTAAGCGCTCAAAAAATTATTGTCCAGTCAAATTACAAACATATACTTGTAGGGAATTAAACGATCTACAAAAAAGATCTAATATGATTTTTTGCTTAGTCGACTCGTTTATAAGTTATTCGAGGTTAAAGTTCAACCTCAAATGGTACTAAGTGATGACTTTTACAATTTTTCATACTCTTTCACAAAATAATGGCTCAAAAACATAAATAAAAACTATGTCATGTTATTTATATTGAAAATAAAAAATCACGATGAGCCACCTCTTAATATTAAGACCTCCAGGTAAATTTCTAAGAAACTAATTAAATTTCTAAGAAATCTATTGTTAACTGACACGCCGGCGTGTCCGCGGTCGTGGAGAGAATAATAACTTAAACTTTACCAGAATTTTTTTTCGTCACCTTGAACGATATTTTCATGGTTACTAAAGAATATAAAAATAAAAGTTCTTTTTGGACCACCCTACTGTACAGTACATTCCTTTCACTCTAAGTAGGGTTTAACATACCTGCATAATTCAATTTGCACGTCAATGCTAGTGGGATACCCTACAAGTGTATGTTACTAGGCTCGAGTTAAGAGATAGGGTTAGTTCTTAATTATATAACGTATTAAAAATGATCCTGGAATGTAACAAAAAAGTAAAGAGATAAAGAGGACTTTAAAACGTATCTGCCTAGGGAGCGCGTATATCAAGGAAGGTCTAAGGACTACACCTCTAGGATCTTTAATAAATTGATAAGAACACACAAAGAATGGAAATGAAATGTTTGATGTTATGTCACGTAGTCATTATCAGTCATTCCTTTACAATATTTAGTTTTCTATTAGCGATATCGATTATAGAAATCAATTTGTTTAAGTGCCGGTTTTAAATATGAGGATTGAGGACTCTCAATAAGAGTAAAATAATTGTATTTGTGGAAGAAAATCATAACTTGAGTAAGTTGAGAACGAATCGAGGCAAACAAAGCGTTAGCTTTAGAGCTTTCTGCCCTCAGGCTTCTCTGTAACATTGTAAAATCTATGCATAAATTATTCTATATGTGGGATCGTACAAATTACTTATTTGATGAAACTTAATATTTACGACATATACACTATAAGCAAATTTCTATGAGTAACTATAATAACAGTAATCGTCGAACTTTCATTAATTCATAAATCATGGTCGTTGACAGGGAGGTTCAGTGGCACGGGTCAGACTGGAACTTTTCAAACGAGTCGCCATACACAGAGTAAAAACATGCATTTACTAGGTTTTATAACATTTATCTTAGTCTAGTTGGATAAGAAAATCATTTTAAGAATTAAAAATATTCATTTCAAAAAAGAATCGAACAAAGATTTTTCCAAAGTGATACTTTCACGGGCCTCAACATCTTCTGTTACTTTATGGCAATAATCGAACTACAAATAAACAAGATACAAGCAGCTTACTAGTCCATACATATAATAAAATTGTAACTAAGTCGAATCTGTACATTAAATATTTTTTGGAAAATCTTATTGAAATGAACATTATTATCGATACAGAGGCCGAATCTATAGTTTTTAGAATTTTTGTCTGTCTGTCTGTTACCGCATCACAGAAAAACCACTGGAGGGATTTGGATAACATTTGGTATGGTGATAGCTGGTTATCCGGGTCAACATATAGGATACTTTTTACCGCGGGAAAACGTCTCATTTCTGAGAAAAAATACAAAAATTGCAATGTAAGAGTATATAATATGTAAAACCTAAGAATTTGGTTTTTGGACATTTGAATGCGGGCGGAGCTACGGGCAATGCTATAGTATTTATATATATTTGCTGAAATATTGAAAACCAATCAACTTTCTATTGATCTGAAGACCTTTTAAACGTTCCGAGTTGCGGAAAGTAATAATAGTACGTACCTTACTATTAATAATAATGATTAACTCTATTAAATAATGAGTTGAAACATTTAGTAATTGTCAAAATTATATGTTTAATAAATGTTTAGTTCGTAGAATTAAAAAACTCTCCTTAATAGTGCCTAGACTATAGACATACATACCTATGAACCTACATCACATTATATTATTAGTTTTACCTGCGACTCCGATCGCGTAGTTTAAATTAATAAGTGATTGCTCCCTGAAGGACATAGCGTGATTTTAGATAAATTATAATTTTCCTCAATATAGTAGACCATAAAGAAAATATATTTTATGAAGCCAACCAAAAAGCCTTGCAGCTTTATATTAGTACAGATGTTAGTACTCGTACTATATAAAAAATACGAGTAGAATTATATATTGCAAACGAATGAAAAACCAAAGATTAACAAACAGGTGGCACGCGTCTGTTTTAAATAAATATTTTGATGGCAAGTTTAGTTTAAGTTGTATTAGAATAAGAAAATATGGGCCACACGGTCACCAGAAACCAGTTCTGTATATACGACGTAATTTATTTAATATATATTGGTTTTCATTACCTACAAAACTTGTAATATTATTCCAAGAATCTTTAATATATTTTTTTAACATAGTATAAAATTAAGTCGCTTCTGCTGTCTGTTCGCTTAGATCTTTTAAACTACTCAACGGATTTTAATGCAGTGTTCGGCAATAGAGATAGAGAGTGATTCAAGAGGAAGGTTTATATGTATAATACATGCATATTATAGTACAGAAAAGCCGAGAAATTCAAAGATTTGTATTTTATACTAACCGTTAGAACGTACCTAGGGACAAACCCGAGCGAAGCGAGGGTGAGTCGCTAGTATAGTTATAAGATATTTTTTTATTTCATAATGAATGACCCATATCAGGTATAACACGTATATATATGTAGTTTGGATACCTACTCTAAGTGACTTCAATAATAGGAAAAGATTTCGTTTTACTATCTTGTTTTACTACATGTTTTCAAAATAATCGAACCTTGAGTAATACCTAATTTTATTACATTATTATCGTAATACGTAATACTTTAGGACACTGTACATAAATAATGTAACTTTTATAGTATTACCGACATTACTAAAATGTAGTAAAAATATAACAAATAAATTATAAGAAAACTTCTTCACCTAGACTTAAGATCATCATCTTGTATATACGCATAAGCCTGATCATCTTCAATATTCTCACTCGCTACCGACGACATTGCGTAATTGTGTTCAGAATCTGAATCACATTGCATATCGTAATTATCCTTTGCGTCTAAGCATTCGGGGACATTTGATTGCGATCTCATTGTTTGCAACTCATATATTAACATTTCATGGTTATTCATGTCCTTCATCTTTTCAATATCAGACAACTCATTATCGTTAGATACATTAGTAGAATCCTTCCCTTTATCTATAACTGCGTTGGCCTCGTCTTTGTTATTGTTTCTACTCGCGAGAATTTCCGAAATAAGCATTTCAGTTACTCGGGAAGTTTTCCTTTCTAAGGAATTGTTATTTTTATTTAAAGTCTCGTCCTGTACGAGTTCTTCGGTATTATTTAACGAATCTGATAGGATATTGACTTCTTTTGGTGAATTGTTTTGTAATCTATCGTTGACATTCGAACTCTCATCTACTGTAGCGTAACATGCATCTATATTAGGACTCGGTGGAGTCTTAGCATCCACTGGCAGAGTATATATACCAATATCCGGTTCCTTTAAAGGTTTATTACGTTCTATACTTCTGTGTAAAGGAGGCGGCACAGGTTTTATAGGCTTCAACTTAGGTTTGGGAGATAAAGGGGGCGGCGGAGCTTTACGTAAAGGTAAAGTTTTCTCTGCAAAACTAGATGATTTGGACACTTTACACTTAGAATCTTGATCTAACTTATTAGAAGTTGAAAGCGACCGCACTAATATTTGTCTACATGTTTTAACGGCTTTAGAGTTCAATGATTCATTAGACTTATTCGATGTCGGAGAATGAATGGAATTGCTGTCACTAGAGCTACGCCTGGAGTTCTGACCACTGGATTTCCTCTCATCAGACGAAGAGCTTCGATCACTAATAACGTCTTTGATAAATGACTTGACGCGCGCAAGACCGTTTTGTCGCGGCGATACGGTGGGCTTGCTCGGTGTAGAGTTTCTGTCCAAAGTTTTAGCCTTCGACGAAACATGATTAATTTCATTCTTAGTAAACGTTCTCGTCTTAGTCAAGGTGGCTTTCGAATCCGCTACAGCTTTCCTTGTCTTAGCGAGTGCTTCGGCCACCATGCTTTGACTAGGCCGCGGTGGTACAGGTGGAGGTCCCTTTATTTTTGTGGTCTTCATGGGGTGGGCGTTAGTCTGTACCATCAGCATGCTTAAACGAGGCGTCACTCGGACAATACTATAACACGAACACTATAGTATAATGAGCGCAGTTACATTAACATCACGTAAGTCACGCCACGCGCGAGTAAGTTCGGAGCGCTCGGTCGACACGGCCGTCCCCGCCCGTGCGCTATTCGGACTGCGGAGTGCGGAGTTCGACACACACTGACTAATACGACCACCGCGACGCGTTCATGTATTATTTGTACCGAAATATAGTAAAGATTGTTTAAGTACTCAAGAGCCTAATCAGAAACATTTCGCACAATTTCATTTTAATTTATACTTTTTTAGAAATAATGTATAGTAAATGTAATAATTCATATTTATTTTATTTTAGTAGAAGCTCTTTATTAATAACTTGTACTAAAATTGGATAAGATTTAGGTAGGTATTTCAAGATGATTTTACATATTATTGCGTGTTTTCAGTTTCGTAGCCTAGGATGGTAGAACAATGAATTGAGCCACAACATTATCTGTTATTGTTTACTATGAGAACGCAACTCTACCGGTTCGGCGCACGCTACATCGCATGGCGGCTATTGTAGGCTACTATTGAAAGCACTTAGTGACCTATTGTTTTATACTTATCCACATACACAATACAGCTGCTTCATGTAAGTGGGAAGTTGGATGCAATCTCTTAAATATTCTATATAATAGCCTCTTAAACGGGATTGATACAAGTATGTTTTACTATTGGAACTAAACAAGTGTAATGCATTAATTTTTAAATAGTTTTATATTATCACATTACACACTTTGAATTTTTGGAAGATTTTATTTTTAACTTAAAAAAAGGTTCAAGTAATATTGAGTGATTTTGTGATTTTGAGTCACATCATAGACTATGGACCTAGAGTAATACATGGGCTATTGCTCTGCACACAAAGCGAGGATGTATCATTATTTAAATATAAATTTTTATAAAATATTCTTCAAATTATATTATATTTAAATAAGTACTTATGCAGATATATATATATATATATATATATATATATATATATATATATATATATATTTAAATAAGTACTTATACAGAAAATAAAATAATAAAATAATGTGATAATATATAATTTGTAATAAATGAAAACAAAGTTAAAATAAATAAACTGACATTTCAGATCTTTAAACTTGTTAGTATTGGTAATACAAGATTAATTATACATCATATAAAATATTTTCCTAATATTCAAACTTTGTAAGTTCTAATGAGAATTTTTTAAAGTTATTTGTATGTAGAAAATATGATATTTGAGGTAAGTTTCAGTATGCCATTTACTTACATTAAAAAAAAGAATTGAGATAGATAGAACTGGCTATTCAGGACTCAACCTTTAATATTCTATAGATTATCTTGTTCTTTTAGTCTGAGGTTATTATTATAGTAAAATTTGTATTTGATTTGACACTTACATTGTTTACTTGTTATTAAACTTCCAATCTTGTCGACACATAGGGCACTGCTGTTGAGGCTGGGAATGCAACCACTTCACAATACAGTGGATGTGGAAGCAATGGGAGCACGCGCCCCAAACGAGAGGGCAATCGTCGCCAGGCAACTTGCAATCAGGGCAACAACTGTCGAAGGGCATGCGACATATACCGCAATTATCGTCGTTTGCTATCCACCGCCAAGTCGCTACACCTGTCCAACCTGCAACTCGTAAATTATGTTTCAAAGCTCCATACTGTCAGTTCTTACTAACGGATCAAAAAGAATATTTAATTCTTAAATCTATCTCGCGTCTTAACACGAGAATACAGTAATCCTTACTTTTAACTGTGACTTTCATGACGTCTAGTAAACTTTTTTTGTACCATAACGATAATTAGAATTTAGATGTTACTTAACGTAATGATTATATGTAACTTCGACTTTTCGTATAAATATTATATTTAAATGAGTTTATTATTAATATTTGAAAACACAAAAACATTCAAAACAGAATAGAGAACTCTTTTTTTTGGTTTTATTATCTATGGTTTTTGTCAAGATTCAAGAAGTAAGAACTTAAAACCACAGATAATTAAATGTAAAACACAGATCACGAACACTTATTGTAGAAACGGCAAATGGTAAAAAACACATTTGACAGTGTTTTTAGCATAGCATATCTGTAATTAATAATTGTATATATTTTATATACATTTAGGTTTTAAGGCTTAATGCTATTATTAATAAAATTTGCCAAAAGGAGGTACTCTTAGAGTAAACTTGTATGTATACATATGCTATAGAGCGCGCGTATCGCTCATTGTCCAATAAGCGAAACGTAAGCAGATGTTTTAAACACACACGATACATACGTGTAGATGTAGCGGTTAAATAGTGATGCGTCTAGTAAAATTTTTAGAATTTAATTAAAAAAGAAGTAAGTATATTAACATATAAACAATTTAACAGAACCATTTATTCACGCACATATAGACTTTATTATCTAAAATTACAGTATTTCTAATTAATATCTTTCATTTATAAATCTATGTAATAATAGTGTTGCTTAATATTTTGATTTTTTTAAATAATAGTAAACGAAATTAAAATTATATATTATTCTCTTTAACTTTTCGCGTTCCATAATTATATAATAATTACACTACGGGACTTAAACGCAAATTACGGTAATTAAAGGTGAATTCACGCATTTAAATCTCGTAATATAATTATTATATAATTATTATTCTAAATTTATTTTAGCATTTTATTTTTTTTTAATTTCACGTAGAACAATAATGTGGCTTCAATAATTCTTATTTTTATGTTTATAAATATAATAATGACAACAGTAAATAAGATGAGTATATAATGCAGATTTTTAAATAATTTCATTATTTGTCTATGGCTGATACGAGAGTCTTTTGCGTGACATAGATTTTTATATAGAATAAATTGTAATGTCAATTGTCAAATATCAGTATCTGACGTTTTATTTGTCATCCATGATCTGACGTGCCATTTCTTGATTTCTATTTTCTCTGTCGTTTGTGGATTTAGAATTTAGATTAACTGTTTTTGATTTAATGAATTTGAGCCTTGATGTGTTGGACTTTCCACTATAATTCATTTTAGTTTGCTATTTAATGTTAATAATTTTCACATTAAGACAAATAATAATAGAACAATGACAAGCTTTGATACAAAATACGACGTAAGTTCTCGAGCTAGTTATAAAAGTATATTAAATTTATAATTATTTTGTACACAATATAAATGATAAAACTTTGATTTATTGTTTATATATAATCTTTTGTTTTTATGTACATAATGAAGTTATTATTTACGTTTCTATTTTAATATAAATTACATATTTAAATTGATGATGGCACTATTTTAGATGTTTCCTGCTGGTGATGTTGGGATTGTCGAGGGTGAAATGAATGTACCATCCCGAGGAGTTCCAAGTGGAGACAGCATGGAATTTAACACTCTTGATGAGCCCATTAAAGAAACATTTGTATGAATTCATATTTTTCTTAGTTTACTTATTTAAATAGTTAATAATATAAACAGTAATAAAGTTGAACATTAATGACAAAGCCTGAATGAATAGCCGAATAAGTAAAAGTAGTTATAAATTAAGTATATTATTTTATATATTTCAGCTTAGAGATCTAAGAGCTGTTGGAAACAAATTTTACCATGTTCTTATTCCTAGAGAGAAAACTAGCTTATTGAAAGAATGTAAGTATTCATGTATTAAATGGGTTTTGTATTTAAAAATATTTTGTTTTTGTATTGTAAAATAAGTACAAAAACTTAAAAATTTGTTATGTTCTATTACAGGGGATCTTTGGGGTCCTTTACTTCTGTGCACTTTCATGGCAACTATTCTTCAAGGATCAGAGCGAGCTGATGATACAAATGATGGAGGTCCTGAATTTGCAGAAGTGTTTGTGTTAGTTTGGATTGGGGCTGCTGTTGTGACATTCAATTCAAAATTATTGGGTGGAAATATGTGTGTACATTTTAAAACATTTATGCACTTAGGGGCCATTCATTAATTACATAAGGAGAATTTGGTCATTTTTGACCCCCCTTACCCACATGTAAGGACATATAAAATTTCACAACCCTCCAGCTCCCCTTTCTATGTAAGATTTTATCTGGTTTAAGAAAGGGATCAGTTGCACTAAGACTCATAATTTGACATAAATCAAAGATTTTCATTTTTGAAATTGTACATGAAAAAAAAAAATAGATCTCCAGAGCTGTTTTCCCTAACACTTATTAACTCACAAATATCCATCACTATATATTAGAAATCACACATTTCAATTTATAAAACATTACATAAGAATGGCTTTTAACCCCCTTCTCCTGTGGTAAGGGCATCTAGACATTATAAGACCGCCCCCAGCCCCCCACCTCAGGATCCTTATGTAATTAATGAATGGCCCCTTAGATCCTTATTTATATAGAATTAATGTATTCCATAATAAGCATCAAAAAGTACCTAGGGACGAACCTGAGAAAAGCGAGTTATTGTCTCACAAATTCATAATATTTATATTCTTTCCGTAGAATATCATAATATTCTATAAATATATGTTATATGCCTTATTTCATTATTTATTTGTTTTAATTTAATTGCGATATTTGCCACACCCATTTTTTATATTAAATCAAGTTTGTGTAGAAAATGGGATCGTACTTATCACGATAACTTCATTAAGTTCAGAACAACTTAGAGTAAAAAGATAAGAATATTTTCTTTAAACACTAAAATACTATTATTTTTCCAGATCATTTTTCCAATCAGTATGTGTGCTCGGCTACTGCTTGTTCCCCATAGCACTGGCTCTGGTTGTCTGCAGAATGATATTGTTCACAACACAGAATTCATTTTTATTCTTCCTCCGTCTAGTCATATCAATGTTTGGCTTTGCATGGGCTACATTTGGTAAGTGTTGTTTTTTTTGTAACTTCTGTACAATTTCATCATACTGTAGTATGTATACATACATTATATTTCATAGGTATTTATTTTTATTTTACTTATTTATTTATTTGATGTACCAAAAAAACAAAATATAAAGCAGATACCATGTGTGACAAAGGATGACTTATCTCTTAAAGAGATCTCTACCAGAAACCCTCAGGCATGAGAAAAAATAATAATAATGAGGTGCGGTGTAGGTTTAATTTAATTATTTTATTGATGTTGACAACTATTTTATTGAAGAGTAAACTTTACAGAAAGCTGACTCTATTTTTTTAAATATCATTTTATTCGCTGGGGTTGTGCCATGGACAAAAGAATCTCAGTGTAACAAAAAGGCGAATGTGAAATAAATATTCCCTAAGTTTTAATTTTAACTGTCGTATTTTGTCTTACCTTACAAACCTACCTGTTGTACCTTAGAAAGTGTATTTATTGGTATCCTAATAATAGAGCAACATATTGAGGCTAACAGTGAATCCCAATAGACTATCTAGTATGTATTGGGCTCTACTTAGTAGTGATACGAGTTTCACAGTTTGTAACGAGTTTATACCATGTGTCTATCTCTATGACCATTTTTTTTTTAACGTTGGAAAATGCATTTACGCACGACGTGTAGGACTCACCGGCGTAATACAGCCAGTACTACCCACTAAAACCCAACAAAACCTTCCCCCGTCTTAATGGGGCGTCGCAGGATCGCTTACGCATTCAACTACGACGCCCCGACGGCAGGTCTGCCGAAGCAGACCACCACAACCATGGGGTTGCTCCAAGGTCCACTCTGCTATCAGAGAAGTACCAGGAGCAACCCACATGGTACACCGCCCCCCGAAGAGGGCCACCTCCCACCGCCCACCGAAGTGGGCAACCTCCCTGTGCGTTTCTTAGCTTCGCGCGGTTGGATTGCCGGGCACTACTGAGCCCCCCACCACGACAAGGTGAACGCACGTTGGGGGGGGGGGGGTGGTCTATCTCTATGACCTAACCCAATCTTGTTGAAGATAAAAATCTCAATGGTGAGAGGAATTAAACTCATGTGTCCAAAGAAAGTTGCTCGATCTACAAATTAATTATAATACAGTGAAACACTTTTCCTATATTAACCGCTATAATATTGTCAATCTATCCATATAATCAAACTGTAAAGGTAGAATGTCTGTACATAAAAAAAAATGCTAAAAACCGAGTCAGGGGGATGTAAGAAGAGAAATAGAACAACTCCAGATTTTTTCAATTTTTTTGTTTCTCTTGTCTGTTTGTACGGGTAATCTCCGAAAATATGAGACCGATTTAAATGAAATTTTGCATGGTGGTACCTTATATTCCCGGTCAACATTTTAGGTACTTTTCATTCCGGAAAATAAAAGAGTTCCCGTGGGATATTTAGAAAACTATACAACTTATACAGCTTAGTACACATGAACTACTGAATGGATTTTAAAGAAACTTTAAAATAATATAGTTCATACATCAGAATAACAAATAGACAACTTTTGAACCCGGAAAAATGTAAGGTTCCTTTGGGATAGATTTGTATTAGTTGGCGAACCCGAGCGCAGCGAGGGTGAGCCGCTAGTAATTAATAAAATTTTATTTACACAATAGAAAATCATATACGTCCTACGCCGAACGTTAAATTTGTCGTCATACTTTTCCCGCCTGCCTTGGCACCTGCGTAGACGAAAAGGCGCCCAATGTCTTCGACTAGACTAGCAGCGCGTAATATGTATTGTATGTATTCAGCCTTTTTTAACGTCCCACTGCTGGGCACGGACCTTCCTTGATTACGAGGGGGAGCGTGACACAGTCCACTACGCTGGCCAAGTGCGGGTTGGCGGATTTCACATGTCTTTAGAAAACTTGCTAAGCTCTCAAAATTATGCAGGTTTTCTCGCGATGTTTTTCTTCACCGTAAGACAAGTGGTAATCATGTTGGAAATGATTCGCACATGAAAATATCAGAGGTTTGAAATCCGGGATTTGATCCCGCTTCACTCAAGTTACCCAAGCAAGCGCACTAGGCATTAACATAATATTTAAATAATAAAATTGACTTATGTTCTTCTTTACTTTCAGCCGCTACCAAATTCCTAGGCGACAGTCAGCCGGAGGGTAAGAAAGGCCTCGCAGTATTCCCCATTTGCTTATTTTATTTCATCCTATCGTGGCTGGTTGTTTCGCACAGCAATGTTTAGGTTTATTTATTGTGATACAAACTTTATAAAATAATATGTGAATATTATAATGTAGTTAAGTGTAAGATTTCTAAACGCTACACTATTAACGAATTTGTAAACTTATTTATTTTAGTAGGAGATCCCTAAGTATGTGGTGAACCCCTCACTCTTTTTCCTGACGAATTTTTTTTTAACTATCAAACATTAACAAACACGACACAGGGGGATTGTCACAAAAATTTGTTGCAGGCTATTTTTAATTATTATTTTTTATTACAAAATCTATTTTCCTATGACAAATTAGTATCACAGTAAAAAACTTGCAGAAAATGCAATCATACGTTTGGCGGCCTTTTTCGAACACCTTTCCAGAACCAGGTATAAACAGATTAATTGAAGTAGTTAATTGCTCGTATCGTTTTCCGGTATTTATATATTGGTTCAGGTATCGAAATGTTGATAATATTTTTATAATTAACTAGCATTGCCCGCGGCTCCGCCCGCGTTCATATGACCAAAACCAAATTCTTAGGTTTTATATATTAGTATACTCGTATTAGTATATAAGTTGACCTGGATAACCAGCTATTACAATACCAAATTTCTTTAAAATCCCTTTAGTGATTTTTCTGTGATGCGGTCACAGACAGACAGACAGACAGACAGAGACAAAAATTCGTAAAACTATAGGCCTCTATTAATGATAATAATGTGTATTTCAATAAAATTTTCCAAAAAAGCACATACTGCTTCATTAAATTTTAATGTATCTATAGATGTAACTAATTTATAAAGTCAAAAAGATAGTTTTTTGATAATTTAAACAACGGGCGGGGCAGAGGGTATTTTAGTAGTAATTCTAATAAAATCATAGAAAGGTCGAATTTGTACATTAATTTTTTTGGAATTAAAACTACGTATTTTACAGGCACATGGCGACATCTATTGACAAATATCTAAATAATACAAAAATAAATATTCATTAAAATAATTTTTTAATGAATAAAATAGTGCTATTGATATACTTTTTCAAGATTAGCTATTTTTAATAGTTTTTGACATATTTAGTAAGTTAACTTGCTAAAATCTATATAGTATCATCGTTTTTTTATTCTAACCAGTTTTTGTATTTTTTCTCAGAAATGAGATATTTTTCTGCGGTAAAAAGTATCCTATATGTTGACCCGGATAATCGCTATGACCATACCAAATTTCATCAAAATCCGTCCAGTAGTTTTTCTGTGATGCGGTAACAGACAGACAGACAAAAATTCTAAAATCTATAGATTCGGCTTCTGTATCGATAATAATGTCTATTTCAATAAGATTTTCTAAAAATATTTAATGTACAAATTTGACTTGGTTAGAATTTTATTATATGTATAGATGATATAGGGTTGTCATACCTAAACATCTCCACATTAGAGGTTTTTAGTATAATTATAGCCTGGAGTTAATTTTTGGTGACAACCCCCTCTGGGTCGTGTTTGTTAATGTTTTATGGTTTAAAAATATATTTCGTCTGAAAAAAGAATGAGGGGTCCACCACATAGATCGGGATCTTAAACTATTTGGTGTTGTTTATAGCTGACTAATTAGTCTTTTATGATTATATATATATATATATATATATATATATATATATATATATATATATATATATGTCGATGTGTAAGATTTTATCAAATAAGTGAGGACAGTATCTTTTTTCACAGATTTATTTTATCTTTGGTTTCTGACGTTTCGAATGCTTTACAGCAATCATGGTCACGGGAGAGACTAAATAAATCTAAGAAAGTTTTACGTGAGGAAAAATTAATTATGATTAATGAAGCTATGAAATTTATTATAAATTCCTTTTAACTGTCACTTCTTCAATGGCAGTTTTGTTATTTTTGACATTCCATTACAAATTATATCGTACTAATTTATATGATTCACTTATTTATATATAAAAATATTGTTATGAGTATACCGACTTTTGTACATAGTTATTATATACGTACTTATTAATAAAAAACTATTTTCTGTCTTTTGCAAATTTTATTGAATATATTACAAAACATAAATGTATCTAAAATACATTGCTTATGAAAATTCGAGGCATTCAGTAAGAAGTTACAGTCTATATTATAGAGTCCATTTTAGACTTAATTTGTAAAATTAAAAAAAAAATGATATACATCACTATCAAGATAGATTAAATGTTACAACTTGTTTTTAATTATCTGGCAACAGTATGTAATTTTTTATATGGATACAAAATATTACATTCCGACTTAAGATTAATTGTATTTTTTTTGTTTATTACATTGAAATTGTGCAGTGCGTCTGTGCAATAATCATAAAGGAATACAATATTTCAATAAATTAAATTTTTATATGCACTACCTAAAACTACGTTTTATTAATATTGAGTGCTACCAATACACAGGGAATGTATTATTTTATTCATTCCTTAATATTACATAATCAAAGTTTGCTTTAGTTATATTATAAAGAAATAAAATAATAATAATATGACACTAAATTTTACTGTAATGCAATTGATGATTGAAAATGTTTATGTATTGAAGCCAAATTAAATATTTGGTTGATGTGTACCCAATGTTATTTCCCTTATAAGCAAAAACATAACAAGGACTTCTATTTTCCCAAATCTAATATTACTTCACATAAATAAAATAAAAAAAGAATTAAATTATTATTTGGCATAATTTTGATTTCGTATACAAAGCCTTAAATAAAATATCACTAACATATAAATACAACAGTTCTACATAAACACGCAACAACCTACTCTATAATAAAGCACACCGATTAACATTAACATAGCCAGGACTTTTTTCTTTAGAAACCATACAAGAAGCCAGCTATATTATCTTTCAGTTATATAGCTTATAGTTAAAATCAGGGCTCGGAATTCGTTCAATTTTTAAACCGGTTTTGATCGATGACCCCGAACCGAAAGGTTTTTCGGTTAAAGGTTTCGGTTATATCCTTCAACCGGTTAAATCCGGAAGAACAGTTTTAGACAAATTTAGGTTCCATGAACAAAACTAGGTAGCTAAAATAAGTTTTTGTGTGTTTACATTTGGCGTCGCGTCTTTGCTAATGGCTTTATGGAAGCATGCACGTTCCTTACTTATGAATGAATTAACCGGTTTATTTCGGTATCAAAACTTAAGTCTAACTAACCTTTCTCTAAGAAGAACCGGTAACCATTATTATTTCGGTTTACTAAACGGTTTGTTTTCATTAACCGGTTAAGAATGAGCGATGAAATAACCAATATATTACCGAAATAAACCGTTTTTTTAAACTGGTTCCGAGCCGTGGTTCTAATATGGATGTATATAAGTAAATAATAATAATTTAGTCACTTTCACGCTACACATATTAAGTGATCATGCTGACTAAATGTGTGTAGGCTAGGTAGATATTAGCTTAATTTTAAGGAGGGTTTTGCTTTGAATCCCATTATGAATATTATAAATGCGAAAGTTTGAATGGATGTTTGTTACTAAATCACGCCAGAACGGCTGGACTAATCTGGAGGAAATTTGGCACCGAGATAGATTATAGTCTGGAATAGCACAAAGGTTACTTTATATTCCGAAAAATTGTACGTGGGATAAATTTGTGTTTGATTTTCACTAGGGACGAACCCGAGTGAAGCGAGGGTGAGTCGCTATTTAGGATATATTAATTTTAATACTAATACTCTGAGGGTGCAGGTTTTTGGAGAAAAAGCTGTGCCTTTACCTGGCTACGATAATTAATTTTTGTATATGACAATACTACATAGCACAGATATAATTTTAAAATTAGTATGCAATTCGAATGTTTTTATTAATGCTATGACGGTCCAGCCGCTTTTATTTAATTTATCGCTATTACAACATTAATATCACTTTAGAAAAAGAAACTTTATTTATTGTTAGTTTTTTTTGTAATAACGAATAATGTTTTTAGAATCTTGTACTACTAATATAAAAATAAAACCAAACACACACACAAACGTATGTAGTCTACTTAGTAATACAAATAAAGGTGGCTCACACACGAAACTGCATATTTATATTTTCCTTATTACAATCAGATCAAATTTGACTATATCATATAAATGTTATATAAATGAATACATGCATACCACCCATGAAATATATAAAAATGGCATAAAAATTAGCTCGACTCTGATCCGCTGGAAATGATATCTGGGGTACGAGGTGGTGTTCGTTTGGGGGATCTGGTGGGTGGTTGGTATGACATATGCATCTGTATGGTGTCTCGGGTTAGTCGGGCGTTCTTGTTGTATGTTAGGGAGTTGGCTCGAGGCTTGCGTCGGGAGAAATGCCTTTCCACCCACTTCAGCATCGCCAGTACCGAGTCCGTTGATGAGAGACGGCGTTCGGCCGATGTCTTGGTTATATTGGAAGATGCTATGCGGAATGTCGCCGCCATACCTTTGAGGGCCTGGAATAATTTAATAATAAACATATTTGTGTATATTTATCTATGTATTCAGCGCTTTTTAACGTCCCACTGCTGGGCACGGGCATCCCTTCAGTACGAGGGGTATCAGGCCATAGTCCACCACGCTGGCCAAGTGCGAGTTGGCGGGCTTCACATGTCTTTTGTAAACTTGCTAGGTTCTCTCAGATATGCAGGTTTCTTCACGATGTTTTCCTTCACCGGTAAGACAAGTGGTAATCATGTTGGACATGATTCGCATATGAAAATATCAGAGGTGCGAGACCCGGGATTTGAACCCGCTTCACGCGGTTTCCCAAGCGAGCGCGTTACCACTGGGCTACCACTGCCTTTTAAACATATTTAACTCAAGTGAAAATCAACATAAACTTTGAATCGTTTTCAATCTTGAATTATGATACCACTTGTTTGGAAAGCAGTTCAGCAAAGAAGATCCGGCGAGAACACAACAGATGCTCTTTTAAAAATAATATTCGTTTACATCAATAATATTGCAATAATTGTTATAATAATGATTAACTTGTTGATTTAACGAGAACATGTTTCATTTATACATTAAAGGTAAAACCCATGCTAATATTACAAATGCGAATATTTAGTCTATCTATTAATATATATAAAAAAAATGAATGTTGCTAAGCGCAAAATGATAGATAACGGCTGGATTAATTAGCCCTTTTTTTTCAAATATTCGCTGAAGTCCGGGGAAGGTTTTTATGAAGAGAAAAAATAGAAGAAATCACGGAAAAACGTAAAAATCACATTTTTCTTTTTCCTTACTTCTACATTATAATTATGAAAGCAACCTTAAAATTTATATAAACTGCTTGAAAGCATTAGGTATATATTTGACACTTTCTCTTTCTACGATATGCAATTTGACGTTGACTTTATTTGTTTTTTTGTTTGTCCTTTTTTCACGTCAAAATAAAGTGCAAGATTCTCGTGTTCTGTTTGTGTGAAGATAGTTTGAAGGCTGGAGAGTGACATAGGCTCTTTTTTATCTCGGGAGATTATTTCGTTCCTACGGGAAAACAAGCTATATCTATTCCACGCTAACCGTTAAAACGTACCAGGGACGAACCTGAGTGAAGCGAGGATCAGTCGCCAGTCTATATAAATTATAAATAAAAATGAATCACCGAAATGTATGTACGCGCATAACTTCGGATCGACTGCACCAAATTGGATAATTCTTTTTTTTTGTGTGTTGTTATTGCCAGGACAAGTTTTGTATAGAAGAAAATTAAAAGAAAATTTCTTTTTTTCTAAAATAAGATTTTTTTTAAATCTCATGACTCCGATTTAGATGAAATTTAATAAGAAGACAGTTTGAGACCTTGGGAAGGACATGGGATACTTTTTATTGCGGAAATAATCCCTTAAGGGAGTAAAAATGGGGATAAAAGTTTGTTTTGGGAAGCAAGCTAGGGACGAACCTGAGCGAAGCGAGGATGAGCCGCTAGTAATAATATAAAGATCAAATAACTGTGACTCCTTACCAACATGGCGTCTTCATCGGTGGCGTCATCACCGGCGTATATAATCCTTATGCGTTCGCTCCAGTCCAGACCGAACGCCGTCCTCAGAATGTAGATGCATGCGCGACCTGATCACACACAAAATCAATATGTTATTTGATATATTGTCGGACTACTATTATAAATTTGACAGTGTATGTGATTGGGTGTGTGTGTGCGTGTGTGGTATTTTTGGTTAATTAGTTGGAACATTACGTCGGAGTGTGTCACAAATATCTTCATTTGTAAAGTGTAAATAAAATACGTTTTTAGATTTAGTTGTTGGTTTTTTTCGGACATCCGGATATCCGGTATACCTTTGTTCCATTGCACGGGCGGGCGCGCCTCGATGGCGCAGTGCGCGGGCGCGGGCGTGAAGCCGGCGGCGGCGATGAGGCGGCGCGCCGTGTCCGCGAGCGCGGCGCGCTTCGCCAGCGGCGTCTCGCGGAAGTGGAAGGTCAGCAGCGCGCCCTTGTTCTCCACCCACGCGCCGTCTCGGCACACCTGTACGTACATACATACACGTGGTAAACACTACCAAGTTATACTAGCGAGTCGACATTGCAATTAGCGGGGGAATGCGGCTAGTATTCTCGCCACTATTCCACGCGGACGTGACATGTATAATAATAATTAAGTATACTAAGTTTTGTATGTATAATGCCAAGAAGGCAGTGGTAGCACAGTGGTAACGCGCTCGCTTTGGAAACCGAGTGAAGCGGGTTCAAATCCCGGGCCTCGCACCTCTGATATTTTCATGTGCGAATCATTACTAACATGATTAGGTACCACTTGCCTAACGGTAAAGGAAAACATCGTGAGGAAACCTGCATATCTGAGACAATCTAGTAAGCTTTCGAAAGACATGTGAAGTCCGCCAACCCGGACTTGGCCAGCGTGGTAGACTATGGCCTGACGTTAAAAAGGGCTGAATAGTAGCGAGTAGCGAGCGGCTCATTCGTCTTACGTACTTTTTAATGATTACGATGGAACACATAGACTATCTTTACAGATAAATAAAATTGAAGTGTCTGTTCGTAATTTGAAAATTAAATTAAGGTTTGTAATGTAAAAAAGCTTTCTACTAAATGCATATGAAGTATACACGGTACTAATAAGAAAAAAAAAACAACTTTTAATCATTTTTGTATGTTTATCTGTTTGTTTTTCCACTGGCAGATGCTATAAGGAGTAACTTAAGTTAGGTGGCTGATGTTATAAGGAGTAATTTAGGTTATGTACCTTTATTTAAGAAAAAGAATCAGGGTTCTGCGCAAAAAAATTAAAACCCATGAAATTGTGAACAAAGCCCGCATACCTGGGGACGCAACCGAGCGAAGCGAGGGTGAGTCGGAAGTGTATCTATACAGATAAATAAAATTGAAGTGTCTGTTTATAATGTCAAAGTAACAGCGTTTTACTAAATGCATATGAAATTATATACGGTACTTAATAAAAACACTTTTTTATTAATTTTTGTCTGTCTGTTTGTTCCGAATAATCTCTGAAACGACTGGACTGAATTCGATGGGACTTTCACTGGAAGATAGCTGATGTTATAGGGAGTAACATAGGCTACTTTCATTTTAGAAAAAGAATTAGGATTCCGCTAAAAAAATCAAAACGTACCTAGGGACGAACCCGAGCGAAGCGAGGGTGAGTCGCTAGTTATCTATACTAATATTATAAAGAGGTAAAGTTTGTGATCTTGTGAGTTTGTGAGTTTGTGACGTTGTAGGGGGTAATCTCTGGATCTACTGAACCGATTTTCAAAATTCTTTTACCAATAGAAAGCCACGTTCTTTCTGAGTGTCATTTATATTTAAGTCACAAAAAGTAGTTTTTTATATTAAAAATTATTTAAATTGGTAGGTCATGTTTATTGGTCATATTATCAACAATTATGAATTCATCAAAATAAGTAAATTTATCGTCTAAAATGTTTAAAACAAAAGACTTTTCCCTTCATAAAAACTATAACAACTTATACAGCTATCTATAACGTATTATGTACACAACATAGAGAAATATCAGAGGTGCGAGACTTTTACTTCAAGAAAATCTTTCTTTTTAGTCAAATCGATGTGCGCGTTTCACGCAAACAGTACTCAACCGATTTTAACTTAATTTTGTATAGTGATAAAACTCAGTACTCGGGTCAACATTTAGGATACCTTTTACGACAGGCTAATTATTCATTCCCATGGGAAAACATAATAACTGGTTCTATCGAACCGTCCTTATATGGCTTGTAAGTCTTAAAAAGGCCTATAGAAAAGTTATACATAGTATATGTCTATCTCCTAAGGTACACTCGCTACAACTATTTGCATTATTATATATTACTGTTTTATTATACGTTATTTATTCTATCTGAATATACAAAAACTGTAGGGGTCGAATGTCTGTACATAGATGATAGAAAAAAATGCTAAAAACCGAGTCAGTTCTCTTCTTACATCCCGTAAGGAGAGAAATAGAACAATCCAGATTTTTTTCAATTTTTTTGTTTCTCTGTTTATACGGGCTAATCTCCGAAACTATTGAACCGATTTAAATGAAATTTGATACTTTTTATTCCGGAAAATTAAAGAGTTCCCGTGGGATAGTTAAAAACTATAGTAACTTAAACAGCTCACTACACAACAACTTATGCACCTAATTTAGTAATATTTGGTATGCTGATACCTTATATTGCAGGTTTAACAACATTTGTATATATATAAAAATGCTCAGATGCGCAAAATCACACTACTGTTTTTAACTTTGACATTTATTTTGGCGGCCTCCGTCTATATAATTCTTTAGTCTGCTGTAATATTATGTAACTAGACTCACTGAACACTTTCTTTATATATTTATATATATTTTCGGATTTTGTCACGGTTTAGTACATATTTTTGATTGAGATTATTGTAATTTTTTTTTGAGTCAGACAGGTTTATAATTTGGCAACATATAAAGAACACTCATAAAATTTATTAAGTTTTTAAATCTTTAAATAGAAATCAAATATAAACAACAAATTGGCACTTCAAAAATTTTCTAAGAAAATAGATCGCATTTGAATATTGATCAGGAGTCTTTTAAATAAACAAATGTATACCTGTTCTTGCAAAGACTTGAGTAGATCTACAACTTTGTCTTGAAGCTCCAAGGGCATGGGATGAACGAACTTGCTGCCATCGGGATGTAATATTTCCAAACCATGGTTTCCCGCATATGTGATGCCTTCTATGCCCACCTAGAAATAAAAAAAACATGTTTTTTTTTAAATGTAACTTATAAACGTAAAAACTAAAAATAATTCCTAAATATGTAGTCTTACAAAAGCATATAAATTTTATTTACAAGATGAAATAAGACACAGTAGTGATTTACTTGTCTTATGAACGAGTCAATTTAGTTAATACAACAGAGAGAAGTGAATATTCTTCAAATAATCATATGGAACGTTTTGGTAAAGTAGTGATTTGTTACACTATGTTAAGCTCGTTTGTTATTCAATTTTTTTAGATTTACACGTGACTTACATTACTCAATAATATAGTCAGCGAATCTTCATATAATACTAGCTGTACCAGCGGCTTCCCCGCGTTCAAACTACAAAAAAACTCTTTGACACACCGACAGCAGCGCCACCTACCGGGTTCTATTTTGTTTTCAAACCATCCAGGAGGCCATCGAAATATACACACAAAATTTCATCCAAATCGGTCCAGCCCTTTAAGAGTAGTAAGGTGACAAACACACGTAGAGAAGAATAATATATATTAAGATACGAGTATGGACTTCTAAACTTAATAAATACGTTTTTAGATAAATATTTTTGTTTGTTTAAGGATCGCCAGCAAAACAAAAATCGCTTTGAATTTATCGTAGAGGGTAACAAACAACAAATCATGAGGTGACCTGTGATTTCCATCGAAAACAATCGTGCGATTATTTATTTGTAAATAATACGAGTCTAATGAAGTCAATAAATAAAAGAAATGTTCATATTATTTTTTTAAACTCGCTGCATATACAGTATACATATATTTATGTAAACAGTGTTTAGGCCCGCATGTTGATATCGTAAGTTCGTTCAAACAAACATGTACCAACCGTCACGGTCGGTCCGGCCTCTAGAATTATTACGCAATGTTCAACAAAGATACCGATACCCGGTTAGAGCTGGGATATTGACCGTGTATACCTACTTTAACAACATATTTTTATTCAACAAGATAGTAATGGTCAAAGTTTACAGATAATACTTATTATTGCAAACTTCAGGCAATTCTATTTTATCATCACTAATAAACATGCTATCGTATCTTAGTTTTCCTTCTCAGAAACTTAAAAAGGTAATATGAAGTTTCTGATAACAATAAATAAATAAATATATTGGGACATTAACACACTGCACCATCTAGTTCCTTGGTAAGCTACGGGGCTTGTGTTATAGATACCAGGTAGTTGATACACTACATACTAATTATAAATATAAACACCCATAACTGGAGTACAAACATTCGTGCTCATTACACAAATGAATGCCCCCAGCAGGACTCGAACCCGCGATCGCTGGCACAGCAAGTAGAGTCACTACAAACCGAGCCAAACGTGTTAAATATAACAATAAATGCTAGAACTAAGCATAGTACGCAGATTTTATCTCCCAACATTTATTGTTTTTGTTATAGGTACGTAGCCTTTTTTAACGTCCCACTGCTGGGCACGGGCTTCCCAATACGACCCCCTCGTCTGGCCATAGTCCACCACGCTGGCCACGTGCGGGTTGGCGGACTTTGTTTTATAGCTTAAAATAGTTTTTTTTTAATTGTTAAGTTGTTTAAATAGTTAAGGGCTAAAATGTGTAAAGAAATGCGACGCAATTAATATATTTACAGTTGCAAACTATCAGATATAGTTTATTGCACGATATGTCAGAAACTGGAACATGACCTTTCAACTTAAGAAGAGGGAGTGGTAAAATAATATTTTATCACGAATTCTATATCTAGCAACTGTTGTTACTGAGATAAATGTGAAAAAATATTTGATATTTAATTTAAAGGAATGGTCAAGCTCGTATATTGTCAATAATATAAATACGATAAATTGATAGTGTAATATGTATTATTTGCAGTTTAGGCGACTGCCTATAGGCCCCGCATCAATTAGGGGCCCACGCGCCGAGAAAAAAAATTAAAAATATTTCATCGAGTGGAAATTTAATTTGAAAAATTAAAAAATTAGGTGAAACCCCACCATGAGAACAAATGCAACAGTTAGATTTTTATGAAATCTACCTAATAGCGTAATAATTACGAATATAATTGCATTGTGGTAGAAAAAATAAAGTTAGAAAAGGATGAACGGCCCCCGAGAATTGCATTGCCTAGGGACCCCGACATGGTTAATTCAGCCATGCACCTATACCGCGTTCATTGGCATCGTTCAACGCGCTCTTGGACAATAATGCTCATTGGGACCCATTCAATGACAAGTGGTCAACTTTGGTTTTTGAGTTGCTGAGGTATGCTGAGAATATTGAATAACCCTGATATTAAACGGGGTTATTCGATATTCTCAGCATGCTCTCAGAACCCAAGTAGTATTTACTTTTGTTTGTGTATTTTATGTTTGTAATATTTTATAATGTATAATCTAGTTAGTGTAAGTGGCGCCGCCGTTCTAATTGGATGGAAAAAATAAATGAAATAGCTTTTACAACGGATATTTGTATAACATGTGCTTTTGTCTTAAAACATTCCATGCCTAGACTAAATATTATAAATTTAAACTAATCTTTTCGTCCTCTATTTTATTTAGCACTTCGGGATGAAAACGCTATATTTAAATTTTACATCTTATATAACTGCTAAAATGAACCTAAATATGAAGGCATTTCATGTGTTAAAATGTAATAGGATGTACAGGTTATACAGTGTATCAAGCAAATAGACCTACAAACATTTACATCTACTCGAAAACATTACCTTCTTTTGGGGTTAGTCAGGTATAAATAATAATATAATAATAATAATTTTATTTATTTAAGACACAGTCCACTTGTTAGTTACATTAAAAACTTACAACTACGTTAGTAAAACTTATAGTGTAATAATATAATATACCTACTAAACAAAAAAAAATCTTTGGCTTCCGAGGAGACTCCTGTGCTAAAATATTAGTTATCAACGGGAGCATGAAGCTGTACCCAACGACAAAACAACGGGGAGTCCCATCGGTCGGCCAAGGAACTCAGGATGGTGTTCGATGCCCCGCGTACTCGCGCCCACAGCGAGGCGCACCTTTTTCTAATGATCGCGTGGAAGCAGTCGGTACGCGCCTCGGCGAACATAGACAACGCGCTACAGAAGCGCGGCAGACCAAACAACATCCTGAACGCGTTGTTGTTGTTGTTGTATTGGACACGTAGAGCGCTGTATGCTCGCATAAAGGGATAAGTCACTAAACTAAGTTGTTGTTAAGTATATCCATACTAAATATTATGTGAAAGTGTGTTTATTTGTTTGTCTTTCACGTCGAAACGGAGTGAAAATGATATATAATATAATATTCTTTCTTCTTTTCTTTCCTTTGCGGCCACTTTTACATAGGTCGAGGTATTTTATCATGCACAGAAAAAAATAGCTTTAATTTGATATATAAATGATGAATATACGCCATGAACGTATAAATGTAACAAAAAAATCTTTAATGACTGGCAGCCCCCTTTGCGGCCACTTTTACATAGGCAGACGTAGTTTATCAGGTACAGAAAAAAATTGTTTTAATTTGATATATAAATAATGAATATACGCCATGAACATATAGATGTAACAAAATACGACCTGCTTACACCTGGCTGCGAAGAGGTTGCGGCCAAGTGCGCAACGCAGCTATCACTTTTCAAGATCTCTACGTATATTTCTGTGGAGTAAAGTCATTTTAATAACAAGTGGACCGATTTTGGTCCAAAAAATCAATTATTATTTATTTAATTAAACATAATAGCGGGCACATTTTAATAGAGGCAACCCGGTCAAAACATATTGTCCCTTTTTTATTGTATATAAGAAAATGGTTTTGATTAAATACGCTATGAACGTAGCAAATCTTGCAGCAGGATCTTAGTCCATCACAATTAAGACGAATCTAACGACACCTCTCAAGCTAAAATATATCAAGTCGTTTAGGCTACAGAGCGTGCAGAAATCTACATATATACATATTACATACACTCGACTCTAACTGCCTCGGTGGTGTAGTGGCTAGCATGTACACATGCTGGAGGCCCTGGGTTCAAGCCCCGGGTCGGGCCAAATTTAGTTATTGAGTCTTTCTGTTTAGAAAGCGTCAGTAAGAGCCCGGAGTTGGGAAGTTGGCGGTGTTTCACCCCCGTGCCTCGGAGAGCACGTGTCGCGTCGGTCCTGCCCCGCCACTCTCGTGTCCCACCGGAGTGTGAGAGCGCACTAGTATCAGTTGGCTAGTCTCAGTGAGATTGGCCGCCGTGGCCGGAATCGGTCAGGAGGACATTATTTTTATTATTACATACAATCAAAATACATAACAAAATACGTAAAAATAATCTCAACTTGCAATATATTTCCAACAAAATATAATAATTATTTTCACTCGGAATTATTTGCATTATCTGCGATTACCCCGCGAGGTGCGAGCATTCTTCAATGTTAACGTTTTTGGTTTTTAGAATGACCTAAACAGTCTAATCAGTGAATCGAGCAATCAAAACGGACCGAGGCTTTCCACCACATCCAAGTATTGCTACTATTGACAATTTAATAGGTCCAATAAAATTACGATGTCCCTGAATGTGCTTAATGAAATTATAGTATACCTAAAATTGTCCCGTGATATTGCAAAAAGAGGAGCCGATTGACAAAACTCTAGATAATTATATATTATTTCACGTAAAATTACAATTTAACGGATTTTACAATTTCCCTGCGACATATATACTAATTGAGTGGAGTCGGAACAAGTAGAGTTGGTACATTTTTGTGCGTAAATAATTTCTGTGTTGTGACAACCTTGATATTAAGGAAAACTTATTAGTGTAGATATTACATGTTCATACATATGTGTTTGAGGTTAAATCAATAATCACTGATATGACACTAATAAACAGTGCGAGTTCATTGATAGATGAGTAGTGTTTTTATTTTTGAAGTTTTGTACACATTTGACGTAAATACTCTTAGTGTCCACTTATGTTATCTGCATAAAGACTTATATGACGATAAATTTGGGTACTTTTACATTATCTATAATAATATTATAAAGAGGCAGAATTTGTTTGTTTGAACGCGCTAATCTCGGGAACTTCTAATCCGATTTGGAAAATTCATTTTTGCATTAGATAGCCCGTTTATTGAGAGATGCTGTAGGCTATAGAATATAGATCATACAATATATAGTCTATATATTCCATAATAACCGTTAAAACGAACCCAGGGACGAACCTGACCGGAGCGAGCCGTTAGTTTTGTTATATATACAAATCGAAACTGATGTCTTTGTGTATAGAAGAAGAGTTCTTCGCTTTTGTGACTTGTTGATAGCTCGGGTAAATGTACTTCTGCATTTTAATTTCAATGTGTGTAATACACTTATAATCTTGAATTTATTACAATGCCCTCTTTGCCCTCTCATATCACAAAAATACCGATAAAGTTGCCAAGATTTTATTGCAACATCACAGTATTTTCTTCTCTTTTACAACTTTAAATACTCCTCTTTAGGATTTTATTTTAAAACTGATTTATGATGAGATAAGTATTACAAACTAACTAATTATTAACAGGCACAATTTAACTTTCACATAATTTATGTTTTTAACCCCCGACGCAAAAAGGAGTGTTATAAGTTTAACGTCGATGTCTGTCTATCTGTGTGTGTGTCTGTCTGTGGCATCGTAGCTCTCAAACGGATGGACCGATTTCGACGCGGTTTTTTTCATTTGAAAGCCAGTTTCCTTGCGGTGGTTCTTAGCTATGTTTGGTCAATATCGGTCCAGCAGTGTAAGAGTATCAGCTCTTTTCCAAAATGATGTAAGGCATTTTGGCGTATGATTATTCGATTAAGTTTTTTATTTTTTAAGGGTTGTTCCTGAACCCATAAGTATTTCTTGCGTTGAGGGTTATTTAAATTTTAAACTTATTATAGGGAAAATAAGACGGGTTAAAATCCTGTAAATATAACGAACGATATTTTGAAAGGTAACATATTCGGACTATACTTGCAAATGAGCCAGATGTAAAATGAACTAAAATGAACGAGAAGTAAAGAGATCTTCAAGTACATACAAAAATTCTACAGAAAAAAAACACTCTCTTTCCCGAATTTACCTATCTTCCCAGCAACTTTTCCGATTGCTATTCCCCAGAATCCTAATTCAGACTATTACACATATTTGAAAAAAAAATATATAGTGAAATCGGTCCAACTATTTTCAAGTGAAGCGCTTAGCGTTGTTCTGTAGTTTTAGTCTTGTGGCGTGGCCTTGATACTGTTAAAGTTCTATAATTCACAGTTATTAAATGTACGATATTCTATCCAACTGGTCGTAAGGTAAAATGTATATAAAGCGAAAAAAATGTTACTTTACAATAAGACATTATAGCCGATAGCGATGAAAATAATGATTACGAATAGCTTTGAATATTAAGTACTACTTTCATTATACTTAACTATTTTCTAATCTTTAGATATAATGTAGTGGATTATTTAACCACTTAATTATTTCTATTTTTCAACAAAGTGCAGTGAGTGAGTTGAACGGTATTTTAAGACGATTTAAAACGAAACTTGTTATGGTTTTGTCAAAACATGAGACCGATCTTCGTGTCTTCTCCATTCTACGTGGCGAAGACGAGAACATTTTTTTACGTCTTATTATGGTGGCATTTACTCACCATCTCCTTAACATTGTTCACATTCCTGCCAGATATGATGGCTATATAGACGTCGGACATGTTGGACAGTCGCTGCAGCGTGTGCTTGGTCTCCAAAGGCAGCGTAGCCAGGTCGGGGTGCGGCGCGATGGGCGCCAGCGTGCCGTCGTAGTCCAGCAGCAGGGCTAGCTTCTGTGTGTAGCCTATGTATCTGTGGATTTAGATACTTTTAATACTTTCTTAGGTTTACGCGAATATATAACATTTTAAATAATACTATCTTTTCGGATTATATGGCGGGAAAGACCCTCCCGTGACTTGATTGCTGTAAAACATTCGAAACGTCGGGAACCAAAAATCAAAATTAAACCGCGAAATAATCTGTAAAGATAGTTTTATTTAAAATTTAGATACTTTTGTTAGTTTTAGTAATCGGACTGGTGTTACATATGTGTTGTGTACGGGAGTGATTGTGTCTCTATTTGTTAATCTTTAACGCAGAAACGATTGGACGGATTTGTATGAAAATAGAGTAACAAAACGGCGACTGTTAGTCACGGACGCACTCGAACCAAGCGAGGGTAAGTTGCCCAGTAATAATTAATTAAAAATAGAATTTCAGCGAAGCTTAGTCTTATAAATATTATGTCATACGGAGCTGGAACGTGGACACCGACCGTACGATTGGTCCATCAGTTTGAAGTGGCTTAGTGAACTATGGAGGGAGAACTAAGCATGGAGTTTTTTGGAAGAATGGAATCTGGAACGAGTTAACCCAACAGAGAATCTAAGTTATTGACATCGCTTAAAGAATCAATGAGCTCAAATGGTAGAGGGCTAGTCACATTGTCGCAGAACTGGTGACCCATCTACTTCGGGTTTTAGAGTAACATCATGGCTCGGCAAACGTAATGTAGGAGGTCCTATTACTGGAGCGTTGATATCCGTAAAATGTCTGGCAGCGATTAAATGCATAAAGCTAAAGATCGAGCTCTGTGACGTTCGCTTAGAGAATTCTATGTCCAGCAATGGACGAAAACGAGCTGATAATCATAATGAATAATTAACTAGCTTTCTTGCTTAATAATTGATTTAACTGTGTTGCTTTTGACTATTCTTCTCGAGGCTGATGCATTTATTCTCGAATTGTTGGTAGTGTTATGCCAATTTTTTTAAACGTCCATTCCATTGTTTGGGGTGACTAGCAATTTGTAAATAAACATAAACCATGTAAAAATATGTTAAGCGTGTCGTGAGACGTAACAGCAAATTGTTCACGCTCATTTACGAAATAATGGATGTTTCCTTTTAGAAACAAAAACCTTACAAAGCACAATTACAATAACTTTCGCGATGCGTTTGCCTATAAATATAGCATGATAGCATTGCCCGCGGCTCCACCCGCGTTTAGATGACCAAAAACAAAATTATTAGGTTTTACACATTAGCATACTCTTACATTGAAGTTTTTTGTATTTTTTCTCAGAAATGAGATATTTTCCCAGGGTAAAAAGTATCCTATATGTTGACCCGGGTAACAGACAGACAGACAAAAATTCTAAAAACTATAGATTCGGCCTCTATATCGATAATAATGTCTATTTCAATAAGATTTCCCAAAATATATTTAATGTACAGATTGGGCTTAGTTACAATTTTATTATATGTATAGATTATATTTATTCGCCTATGAAAACGCACATAACGCCTGTGAGTTAAAGATACATTTGATCCGAATACAAACATGAGCGAATTCAAATACAATACAATAAATAATAATACAATGAATTGAATAACTGGCTCGGTAGTATAGTGGCTGCACACCTGGAGGTCCTGGGTTCGAGCCCCAGGTCGGACCAAGTTTAGTTATTGAGTCTTTCTGTTTAGAAAGTGTCAGTAAGAGCCCGGAGTTGGGAAGTTGGCGGTGTTTCACCCCCGTGCCTCGGAGAGCACGTGTCGCGTCGGTCCCGCGCCGTCACTCTCGCAGCGAGTGTCTCGTGTCCCACCGGAGTGTGAGAGTGCACTTGTGTCTGCGCGCACACACTACACCGACACACGCGCTGCACTATAATATCTCCTGCGCAGTTGGCTAGTCTCAGTGAGATTGGCCGCCGTGGCCGGAATCGGTCAACAGGTCTTACCATATTATTATATTACCATGTAATCAAAACACTCACTTGGACAGATACTCATCAAAGTCATCAATGGTGACCGGTTGCATGGAAGTGGCCCCAATGTCGTCAGTCTCCTCTTCCAGCGAGTCCATGGCCTTGAGGAACGCCTTCATCCAGCTGTCGACGTCGTTGTGCTGTTCGCGGCGGCGCAAATGGTTCATGCGCACCGTGCGCTCATCCTCTGGCATTATTAGTGCTCTGGAATGTGGAACAGGTCAGGAAAGAAATATGTGGGGTAGTTAGAAAGATGTGTCTTTTGATTTCATTGAATAATGCCTTATAAATTTATAATGCCTTATAAATTACGCAAACCATAGGTTTGATCAATACAATTTTTTTTATAAACGTAATTTATGCCAAAAGAATTCTTTAGTCTATGTAAACCTTTATTAAATTACACGAAAAGACACATTTTATTGCAATAATCTAATTGCTATAAATACAAGATCTATCAATAGCTACTAGAAAAATGAAAATAATCGATATTCTATATCAGCTAATATATTAAATAGTGACTGGTCAGTAATATTATATTTATTTAGAAATCCTAACCTATGAATTCCAGCCGCATAATCCAAGTGTATCCAAGGCTATATTGTATGCAACCTTTGTCATGAAGTGTAAAAACAAAAGACACACTTATGGAACACATATGAATGGCATATGTATAGCATATGCAGCTCAAAGGGGCTGCATATGAGCACTTCACGCATCATCTCGCCGGCGCCGACGAAGGGCGACACGATGAGCAAAGTAAAAAAAAATGTTCTATACCTACCTATGAATCTCAGCTCCATCATCCAAATGTATTCAAAGCTATATCGTTTGCTAGTATTGTGTCAAAAAGTCATTAAGAAAAAAAAAGACAGTAACCTATTAATAACTACAGCCGCGTAGTCAAACTGAGGCTGTATCGTCTGCTATCTTTGTGTCATGAAGAAGAAAAAAGAACAGTCACCTATGAATGACCTCGGCCGCATCATCCAGCTCATAGGGGTTGCATATGAGCGCTTCATGCATCATCTCGCCGGCGCCGGCGAAGGGCGACACGATGAGCACGCCGGGCGGCTGGTTAATCTGGCACGCCACAAACTCTTTCGCAACGAGGTTCATGCCATCCCGCAGTGGCGTCACTAGCGCCACCGACGCGTCGCGGTAGAACGCCGCTAACTCGTCTTGCCCCACACAACCATATATGTACCTTGAAAGACCATTTAGTTTGTCACTTTGTTTACTCTCCTTTAACGTAAAACAGAGTAATGAAAAAGTACTCTATGTTTAACCCTTAAAAAATCATATGGAATAAACAATTCAATCGATTGCTCTGTTGTATTATTTTATTGTCGAGTCAATTGTGTGTTGCATAAAAGAAGGATAAACGAATAAACACATTCCCGAAATTATGATATTAATAAATATTTTGGTATTTTATTTATTCTTATATTTTTTAAATATGCGACATGATTTTTTACCTTATAGGAGACCAATTCGGCGTAGTGAACCTTCCGTTAATTCTTCCAACTAGTTGGTCCATTTCTTCTTTTAAATCTTGATATTCTTTCACATCTGTTCTTGACGGTACCGATATTTGCAGTAGTACTACTTTATCTATATGTTCAGGATGTTTTTCCAGCAGCCTTTCGAATGCTTTAAGTTTGTGCACTAAGCCTTTGGTATAATCTAATCTGTCTACGCCGAGTATCACTTTTTGACTCATTGAGAGTACTGGTTTTGCGTTTTGAGCCAATGCAACGAATCTATCGAAGGGTACGCCTATTGGTAACGGTCGAACGCAAATGGTACGACCGCCTAATTCTACTAAAAGATTTTTCCGGTCAACACGACAACCCAAATTCCTTTGGCAACAATCTATGAAATTTAGGCAATAGTCTGTTATGTGAAAGCCGACCATGTCACAACCTGAGGAATTTTTTTTGTTAATAACAAAATGATATATAATGATCAGTAAAAAAAATATATATTCGTTATTAAAAAAATCCGTGTGCTGAAAAACACTTACCCAAAATGCCCTGCAAAACTTCATCAGACCAAGGCAAAAGCCTGAATATGTCCCATGGTGGGAATGGAATGTGTAAGAAAAACGCAAGTTTGCACTTTAAGTCATCCTCTTCGGCTTTTTGTCGAATCCAGTTAGCAGCCAACATGAGATGGTAATCGTGGATCCATATAATTGGAGGTGAATTGCCATTTTTCTCTTTATTTTCTTTGAGCAGTTTCAATGCATATACTGTCTTCTCAGCGAATTCCTCATTAATTTTTATATAGGCTCGCCAATGGTCTACGATGAATGTGGCGCGGTCGGGCATAGAGTGGAAAAGCGGCCAGAAAGTTCCATTACAACAGCCATTATAGTAGCTGTCGAATAACTTAGGTTCAGCATGAATTGCAACAATCTAAAACAAAACAAAGTTTTCATGATAAACTAATTTTATAAGACTATAAATTAATTATTTCAGAGTAGACAAGTGAAATACAACAGAAAAAATGTAAACAATACCATAAAATGTAATCTAAGGAGTTTTCACTCAAACTGAGTCCTAACAAGTAGCTAGTTTAGCTCTAAGGCCGGGCTGTTGTAAGAGCATACGCAACGGTCCTTTGGCGTCTTACTAGTTACTAATTACTATGACGATGACCGTTGAGTTATATTGTAAAAAGTAAACCGTATCTATAATTATATTATTTGTATTATTACTATATTTGTAGCTCCTCTTCTGGAGAAGGATAAATGAATAAATATGTTGGGACTTGGGACATTAATACACAGCACCATTTATTTCATGGTAAGCAACGAGGTTTGTGTTATGGATACCTGATAGTTGAAGCACTACACAAATATAACTTTAAATACGTACATGTTAGAAATTTAAACACCGATGACTGGAGTACAAACATTTGTGCTCATCACACAAATGAATGCCCCCAGTGGGATTCGAATCCGAGGTAGGGTCACTACAAATTGAGCCAAACGAGTCGTCAATGTGTATGTCGTGGATGAAATCGTTATTGCAAATATAGTATTATATAGGTATATGTACTTATTTAAGTATTTAGGATATGCAATTGTGTGTAGTAAGTACACCGCCTACCATTTCATATAATTTCTCCTACGCCCTAAGGTTGCCTGGAAGAGATCGCTTATAGCGATAAGGCCGCCTCCTGTGCATCACCTATTATTTATATCTTCTTTTGTATATTTCTTTGTGGTGTACAATAAAGTATCTATCTATCTATTTGTCTGACTCTACGCGCCAATTACTGCACCTAAATTCGACTCGATTAGTGCTTACTATTCGAATTGTTCTACGCAACTCTAGGGTTTTGATGTTCGATTTACTCCATAAAACTTTAATTAATCAGCTTTAGCAATAAAAGAGTATTAGACTAGATAAAATATGGCCCATTTCTTAACGCCAAAAAAGTTTGCCTACTAAGCCACATATTACAAAACATTGTATAATAGTTGTGTAAACCACTATAATTATTTATAATACGTCCCTTGCACATAAAAATACATACTAAGCAATCGCCACTGAGATATAACCATCAAATACCATTATACTACAAAGTAATTTTATGTCGTTTTTCCATTGCATGAGGCTACACAACAAATATTTTCATGTTTTTAAATTAATATATGTAGTTCTATATCGTATAATATTAAATGAGCAATTCTATATAATATGTATATACTATATTTATTTTGTGTAGAAATGGCTCTAACGATTTGGATAAAAATTTGTATTTATGATGATAAGGTTTTGTTTTTTAAGTTCATCTATGTATATCTTTTCTGAAAAAAAAAACGCAATTTTCTACAAAACAAATATAGCAACTATAGTTTGTCCATTTTATTAATAGTTATTTGACAGATCGACGACTAACAAGTTATATTGATTGATTAGTATAGACTAGCGATTCACCCTCGCTTCACTCGGGTTCGTCCCTAGGTAGGTACGTAACATCAGCTATCTTCTAGTGAAAGTCCCGTGAAATTAAGTCCAGCCGTTTCAGAGATTATCTGAAACAGACAGACAGACAAAATTTTTAAAAGTTATGTCTTTTTATAAGTACCGTATATAATTTCATATGCATTAAGTAAAGCGCTGTTATTTTAACATTACAAGCAAACACTTCAATTTTATTTACATATTTGTATAGATGAGTAGGTAAGTATTATCTAATAAGGTTGGATCTCTTAATATTTATTTATGTGTACAATGTCGTACTTTTTAAATTCGCTTTTGCATATAAAAGTAGTTAAGTTAACATATATTGAACATTTAATGCGAATGTATCGAACTCCGACTGGTAGAATAAGATAAACGGAGCATATATACTCGTATTACATGAAGCCAAATAAAACTGTCCTTGGCCCTGTTATTTTTAATGCTCTATACTTAATTAATTAGTTTCATTTATATTATTTTTCATACTTTTTTAATAGAGTTACATTGAGTCATATTAATTATGCAACGACGCGACGTGAGTTTGTAGAGTTTGTAAGTTTGGATGCATTTATTGGTTAATCTAAATAGATTAGAACGAATAAAGATAAAAAGCTTTATAGCTAGTGGTATTTCCGCCGAGTGCTTTAGGCTATGTTTTATTCTGGTAAGAATGTGTTTACTTTTTAAATAAAACTGTCTTTTCAGATTTTTGCGGATTTAAATTGATGTTTGGTTCCCGACGCGACGACGTTTCGAATGCTTTACAGCAATCATGGTCACGGGAAAGATAAGGTTTTGCTTTATAAGTTTATCTATAATTTTTATTTACTTATTCTAATCAATTAGAAAGAATGTGTCCAATAAAAATATAACTATCGGATTTATCATTTCGGGAGGAATGGGAGAACCGTAATCATGATTGCTGTAAATTCATATGGCGCGTCGGTAAGCCGAAGAATCGAATTAAACCCGTGAGAAATTCGAAAAGATATTTTTATTTAAAATGTAAAATATTCGCATAAACCTGAGAAAGGTAGTTCTTTGTTCTCTTCAAACACATATAAAGCATTCGAAACATCAGGAGCCGAAGATAAATCAGCAAAATAAATTATTTTACTGTAGGTACATTATACGTCCTATCTTATTTATAAACTTACTTCCCATTATTGAATATGCTTGACATAACAACATATAAACATCAACTACACCGCACATTTATTGAACAAAGGCAGTATTTATAGTACTTGAAGATTCTTTAAACACATTATCTGATAATAGTTTGAATAATTCTCACTTTTAATTGCTTGCCGTGCTTACAATATCACCGCATGATATTTACATGGTGTGGAAAATTTCTATAGCTTTTATATCCCCTACGAATGATAATGAGTATCGAGATATGATGTAACCTTTTCATACAATAAATAACTTGTCTCTGAGAGTTATTTATTATTTTATTTAGCATACATTTACGAACAGTTAGCTTTTGCTATATGTACCTACGTTATCTTTATTAAATAGTATTATTTATACTAGTTGTATTAACTGCTTGTATCAATGTTTGAACGGTTTTAACTAAAATTCTATCCAATTGATTTCAATGAAACTCCAGAAGTGTTATGGGCTATGTTATATTTGATTTTAACCCGTTGCAGTGTGATGAAGGCATGTGTTGGTGTGCAGATGTCAGAACAGGACAACCCACAGTTTCTCCCGTGCCAGAAGTTGACATGAAACTGTTGCCTTGTCGTAATACCTTTTTTTATATTATGTAGATAAAAATATAACTAAATAACTCACTCAATTTTTAAATACAGTTTAAAATTGACTAGTGATTATCTGACTGTTTTTTTATTTAGCAAAAAAATGTTAACCGATATCTACGAATTTCAAAAGTAAGAAACTCTGAGAATATTTGATAGGGTATCCATTTAAAAAGCCCTTCAGTTATTTCTTACTTTTTACATCTTGATTTTCTTGATTTTAGCATGGTAGGTAATTAATAACAGTAACAAGTGTAAAAAAAGATACGGTTCCAACGTACGTTGGAACCGTATGCTTTTTTTTGAAATCGATTAAAAACGGGCAGAAGCAAGTTAGTTATATTTAACATGCGATGTACAAATTGAGGGGTGTTATAAGTTTACGTCGATGCCTGTCTGTCAGTGTGTTTGTGTGGCATAGTAGCTCTCAAACGGATGGACCGATTTCGATGCGGTTTTTTTTATTTGAAAGCCAGTTTTCTTGCGGTGGTTCATAGCTATGTTTGGTTAATATCGGTCCAGCACTCAGCAGTGTAAGAGTATCAGCTCTTTTCCAAAATGATATAAGGCATTTTGGCGTTTGATTACTCGATTAAGTGCTTCACGTGTGCCAGTGTAATCGTTAAATGACAAATAATTTGCGTAGGCGTTTTTTAAATTTAAAAATTTATAATTATTTAAATAAAGTTTGGATGTAGGAGTTTCATTTAAATCTGTAAATGTTTTACTAAACCAAGTTAGTATATATGTTCTTCATTTAGCCTTCAATTTTTATTCACAGTACGGTAAAGGAAAACCTTGTGAGGAAATTTGCATGTTTAAGAGAACTTAGTAAGTTTTCGAACGACATTTTATTTAGGTATATGTAGCCCCCTTTTTAATAGTAATAATATATTGTTTTTATACAATTATAGTTGATGGTGGATTGATGAAATGCAATAAAATCTATACATATAATAAAATTGTAACTAAGCCGAATCTGTATATTAAATATTTTTTGGAAAATCTTATTGAAATAAACATTATTATCGATACAGAGGCCGAATCTATAGTTTTTAGAATTTTTGACTCTCTGTCTGTTACCGCATCACAGAAAAACCACTGGATGGGGATTTTGTTGAAATTTGGTATGGTGATAGCTGTTATCTGGGTCAACATATAGGATACTTTTTACCGCGGAAAATATCTCATTTCTAAGAAAAAATGCAAAAACTGCAATGTAAGAGTATACTAATCTGTGAAACCTAAAAATTTGGTTTTTGGTCATCTGAACGTGGGCGGAGCCGCGGGCAATGCTAGTAATTTATAATTATCTATTTTAGTCTCAAAGTATTAAATATACTAATGTATATTTATTATGTATGTTTGGTTAGGTAGTCACGCGTTCCCCTCCAACGTGCGTTCACTTTGTCATGGTAGGGGGATCCTGCGACGCCTCATTACGAAGGGGGAGGTTCTGTTAGGTTTTAGTGGGTACCCCCCCAACGTGCGTTCACCTTGTCGTGGTGGGGGGGCTCAGTAGTGCCCGGCAACCCAACCGGGCGCGAAGCCAAGAAACGCACAGGGAGGTGGCCCACTTCGGTGGGCGGTGGGAGGCGCCCTCTTCGGAGGGCGGTGAACCATGCGGGTTGCTCCTGGTACTTCTCTGATAGCAGAGTGGACCTTGGAGCAACCCCGTGGTTGTTGTGGTCTGCTTCGGCAGACCTGCCGTCGGGGCGTCGTAGTTGAATGCGTAAGCGATCCTGCGACGCCTCATTAAGACGGGGGAAGGCTTTGTTGGGTTTTAGTGGGTAGTACTGGCTTTGCCGGTGAGTCCCACACCTCGTGCGTAAATGCATTTCCATGCATTTGTCGGTGAGTCCTACTGCTACATAACCACCTGTATGCATGCATGTGGTATGCGTAAATGCATTTTTCTAACGTCAAAAAAGGTACTCCTACTCACCTGTTAGAATGTATTTCTTCTCTAGTTGTCGGTTTTATCTAAAAGATTTGTCATATAATATGATGATTGAAAATAAACGACTAGTTAATTTATTCGGTCAATAGCCTCATTGAATATAATTCAAATATTCATTATGAAACATATATAGACAATGATATAATTAAAAATTCGTTATTTTTTAATAAACAATAGTAGTATTAATAGACTCGGCTTTAGCGTCAAGGTTACCATAAAAAAGTAATGTATTTTCATTTTATAATATAACTAGCGACACAGTCCTAGGTACGTTTTAATGGTAAGCATACAATAGACGAGACAGTGGTAGCCCAGTGGTAAAGCGCTCGCTTGGGAAACCGAGTGAAGAGAGTTCGAATCCCGGGTCTCGCACCTTTGATATTTTCAAGTTCGAATCATTTCCAACATGATTGCTACTTGTCTTAACGGGGAAGGAAAACATCGTGAGGAAACCTGTATGTCTGAGAGAACCTAGCAAGTTTTCATAAAGACAAGTGAAGTCGGTCAACCCGCAGTTGGCCAGCGTGGTGGACTATGGCCTGATTCCCCTCGTACTGTACCCGGGATAAAATGTATCGTATGTCCTTCCCAGGGTCTCAAACTATCTTGTTACCAAATTTCATCTAAATCGGTTCATCAATCCAGAGATTACCCCCTACAATATCACAAACTCATAAACTTTACCTCTTTATAATATTAGTATAGATGTATAAAATGAAATGCTTTGCTTAATTTTACAATATAATGAACAAAATTTACTGATCCATACTAATATTATAAATGTGAAAGTGTGTTTGTTTGTTTGTCCTTCTTTCACGTCGAAACGGGTTGGCGTGATTTTTTGTGTAGAAATAGTTGGAGACCTGAAGAGTGATATAGGTTACTTTTTACCGCGGGAGATTACTAATTCCCACGGAAAAACACGTTATAATACAATCCAAAAAAATATTTATGATCAGAATTACTTGAAACTTGGTATTAATGATCTTCGATAAAATTAAATAAATACCTACGTGTTTTAGCATTTTTGGAAATTCATTCTATAAGGGGGTAAAATAGGGGATGAAAGTTTGTATGAATCTTTTTGGAGACATTTTGTAGTTAATTCGCGGGTTCTGCTAGTATTATTATAAATGTGAAAATTTACATGTTCGGATGGATGGTTGTTACTCAATCACTCCAGAACGACTGAACGGATTTGGATGAAATTTGGCACATATATAGATTATTGCCTGGAATAGCACGTAGGGTACTTTTTATCCCGGAAAAATGTACGGTTCCCGTGGGATAATTTGTTTTTGTTTCTCTAAAGGCGAACCTGAGCGAAGAGAGAGGGAGCCGCAGTGTATATATAAAATAAATACAGTTTAGGTAAGATGAATAGAGGGCTCTTTCTAGCTTCTTGCATGTGTGAAATCTTTAAATACTTACATAATAATTTATTACATACAAATTACAATACACCTATTTTGCTTCAACTTAATATAATGGCAGAAAATTGTTTATAATTTAGTTTACAATACAATAAAACGACTTGCTAGTCTACTAACAAGCAAATAAGTAGTATTTAACATGTTCTACGGTTTCCCACAATTGATGCAACTAAGTTGATATTTATAAAATATAAGAACATTTCTTTACATCGTTAGAAAGAAAAGTTTCTTCCTATGATGTAAAGAATTGATGTTTATTAATTTTAACCTAAGTGTTTAAAATCGTATGATAGTACGATACTTTCATGCCACTTAATGATGAAGCCAGAAAGTGGATAGTGAAACACTTTATGGCCACGAGTAAAACTTTCATGTTTGGATAATTCAATTTGTTTTGACGAGTCCGTATAGTACAATTGCTCGACCATGTTATTTTAGTTTTGGACCGTGTTAGAGGCTTAACAATGTGTTGGATGCATCTATGAAAAAAAATTATTTTTGCAAATACAAGTATAAACGTTATGTATGTTAACACATCGTAATTATTTGTTCAATCGTATTGTCATGTTTGTCACGAGAGCACAAGGTCATACCACTATTCTAATATCGGTAGTACTAAGTGGAGCGGGAATCTATGTATGATGTTTGTTTACAATACCAGCTAGCATTCTTGGGTGACTACATTTCAAGAGTTCATATCATCATTTGAAGAGTCTAAGAGTAAGCAATGTAAATTATTTTGTACGAAGAAATAAATTACCCTTATTGACGTTTTAATATAATATAATTATTGTGTTACTGATAAAATTAGAGTATGATAATATATTTTTGCGGTAGCAACTGACTCTGAATTTGACATTTATTGCGACATAATTATAATTTTCAACCGCTTTAAAACAATAATGTTTTTAAAGTATGAATAATGAACATTACAATAAGTCTGAAACTTGTCTGATATGTTAGTATGTATAACCTAAATAAAGCGTAAAAATGAAAACTTTGATAATACATTGTTTGGATTCTACGCGACAATGGTGAAGTAATCTGGTGTTCAACTTGGCACGCTTTGAAAGCAAAACAAGAAAATTGAATTTTACCTATATGTGGTTTGTTTATTTACCTTGCTAGATAGCAGTCCAGCAGTAGGCGTCGTATCATTGGGGTCGGATTCTGGTATCTTCTCGTTAGGGTTTTCCAGATGTATGCCAGGCCAGCCCACCCAAATACCGCTACCTCGAATCACCACCGGCGCCACAGCAGTTACAAGACCACCGGCGCTGAAATAAAAGAAAATATGACAGAATTGAGATTTTAACAATAAAACTGTACTAAAATAGAAATAGTAATTTGTATCTTTAGACGAGAGTTCTCGGAATATGAAATCTATTATATATAAATATGAATCCATCCAGCGGCTCTTGAGCAATACGCTATTGAACAAGCAGACATACATTACTTTTAACTGTAGATTTCTCTTTTATCATATGGCTACAATTTCAATTAGGGAAGGGCCGAAATTCGTTTTACATTCGGTTTAACCGAATTTCGGCAGCTTGAGCCGAACTTCAGCATTCGGCCGAAATTCGGTTCGAATGCTGAACATTCGGCAATAGAAAAAAAACCTACTTGCACTATTTTGACTGAAATTAATAGAAAACAAGTTTGTCATAACAAATAAAGTCTTTAATATACATACTCATAAATCCGATCGGAATCCGGTTTGGAAACAAAAACTTAAAACCTGAAGTTTTATATCTTCAAAACGTTAGCAGGTATATAAGGAACAAAAATCCATAAAATGCCCTCGATGTCCATCTAACCCCGAGTAAAGGGTTTGGACAACCAGGAGGGTTGGGAGCCCCCCCCCCCTCCCAACGTGCGTTCACCTTGTCGTGGTGGGGGGGCTCAGTGCCCGGCAACCCAACCGGGCGCGAAGCCAAGAAACGCACAGGGAGGTGGCCCACTTCGGTGGGCGGTGGGAGGTGGCCCACTTCGGTGGGCGGTGGGAGGTGGCCCTCTTCGGAGGGCGGTGTACCATGCGGGTTGCTCCTGGTACTTCTCTGATAGCAGAGTGGACCTTGGAGCAACCCCGTGGTTGTTGTGGTCTGCATCGGCAGACCTGCCGTCGGGGCGTCGTAGTTGAATGCGTAAGCGATCCCGCCCCATTAAGACGGGGGAAGGCTTTGTTGGGTTTTACTGGCTTTGCCGGTGAGTCCCACACCTCGTGCGTAAATGCATTTCCCAACGTTAAAAAAAAACATGATACTTTTTACCAATAACCTCAATCTTTTGAAGATAGTTGCAAAAAACCCATTTTTTAATTTTTTCTTGGCATTTTCTTTCGATTTCTGCATTAATATTTTAATTTTCATTTAACATATAATAACCACATTTTTTTTTATTTAGTAAAAGTTGGACAAATAGATAATTTTTACTTAAAAGTTGTACGTAAACTATATTTGTTTTAATAATCGTTGAAAATATGTACTACTAAAGTGACCAAATTTTTATAAACTGATTACACTAATGTATTTTACGGGAAATAACCAAAAAAAAAACTGTATAATTAAGTTTTAATTTGATGCTTCTTATTTATACAATGAAAAAAATATTGGAAGTCACGTAAAGTATACGCATTTTTTGTATTTTTTCACGTAGAGTATGTTTTTTTTCGAATACATCCATATTTTATAAATTTTTGATCGATTTTTGCAGCGGCAATGTTTTTGTTTCTTCGAAAAGTATAGTTCAAGACGAAAAAAATTACCCATACCTGAAAATTGAACGAGAATTTTTTTAAAGATATATTTTAGAAAGATAAAAATTTACACCCTCCCGAGACCATAACACATTAAGTAATTTCTCGGAAACGGCTAAATATTACAATTTTAATTTTTTTTGTTATTTTTTTTTAATTACTTTATGAAAATCAAAAACAAAAAAGCATGAAAAAATAGAAAAACTGTTTTTTTGCAAATAACTCGGAAACTTTGAGGTTATTGTAAAAACTGTCACATGTAAAAGTTGTAGATTTTTACTAGACCTACACTTTTTGTGGAGAACATTTTTCGATAGGTCTTCACAGTAAGCCGGAAATTGAAAAAAAATTTTTTTCAACGCCTTTCGTCCCCTTATTTCTCGGGGGTAGCTGGACGTCGGGGGAATTTACAGATTTTTGTTCCTTGTATACCTGCTAACGTTTTAAAGACGTTAAACTTCAGTTTTATTTAAAAAAAATCTATTAAAAATAAACTGGTTCCGATCGTGCTACATGGTCATTTATTTTAGATAGGTATATGTAAACATTAATACGTACGCGATAATAAAATTAATTGGTTCTTCTTAATTTAACAGTCTCAAAAATCTTTGCCTAACGAAATAGACAAAATGAAATAAACTTAGTACTCTTGTAACAAACATCTTAATTACAATTCAGAAGTTGAATAAAAAATCACGTTTTTAGTTCACAAACTACACACATCACACTCAAAAACATTTAAAGTATTTTTAATTATTAAAGTGCCACGACGTATAGTGATTAGTGACACGACACGTAGTGACTTGAGAAAGCGCGGCGAATTGAACCGAAGTTCGGCCGAATTTCGTATTCGGTTCAAGCAACATTCGGCTCATCACTAATTTTAATATATTCATAGTGCTTTTTAAAGTCTTAGTTTATTCATCAATAAAAGTAATTAGCTTTATTTTAAATAAATTTTATTAGATTACTAACCTCACTCCGCTCGGGTTCATCCCTACTTACGTTTTAAGGTTTAGTATAGATTTCTCAGAGATGAGATATTTGCCTGTAGTAAAAAGTATTGTATATGTTGACCCGGATAACCAGTTATCATCATACCAAATTTCATCAAAATCCCTCCAGTGGTTTTTCCGTAATGCGGTCACAGACATACAGACAGACAAAAATTCTAAAAACAATAGATTCGGCCGCTGTATCGATAATAATGTCTATTTCAATAAGATTTTCAAAAAAATATGTAATGTACAGATTCGGTTTAGTTATAATTTTATTATATGTATCTCTAGATTAAAAATTTAGATTATGTACACAAGCAATGTCTTAAAAACTTTAATATTTGAATAGCTACTGACAAATATATATAGGTATACTGTACGATGAATACAAAATTTAGCTGTGCTGGGATTGAATTCGTGTAGGTACTTAAAGACGAAAACAAATCACTTAAATAAAGCCAATTTACAAAAAGACAAAACGTCTGTGTTCTTATCAAATTAGACCACTTCACCCTTTTATATCAACAAGGATTTCAATACTATGTATTTTTTTAAACATAACTAAAAATGTTACAGAGAAATATTTGCAATGCATAACATAATATTTGCTTAGGAAGGCTTCCAGCACTATCACTTTATCAATATTTGATACTGGGATTATTCAATTATCGTAAATTAAATATAATAATTCAATGTGTACCTTTGGATGTCTATACATACATATGTAAGCATCAATTTTTTTGTTTGTTTCTCAAGCTAGCGCGCTACCACTGGGCTACCACTGCCTATGTGTGTCATAGTGTGCCATAGGTACGTACTTTTAATGGGTAGACGCACGTCTCACTCTCTTCTAGGTAAGTATCCATTTTACATAGGTAGGGATACTTGGAGACCTCACCCGTGACTTTATATAGACGATTATTACAAAGTAACTACACTTTGCCCATTACTTTTTTTTCTGAGTTTATGTATCTCAGTAACAGAATGAGAAGGTAGCTTCGAAGTAATGATTTATCACTACATAGTATAAAACAAAGTCGAACAAAGTCGTCAAAGTCATCAAAATCCCTATGTATGCTTAAATCTTTAAAACTACGCAACAGATTTTGATGCAGTTTTTTTAATAGATAGAGTGATTCATCAGAAAGGTTTTAGTATATAATTTGTTAAGTTTTTGTATACATTAGCTAAAATATAACGATATTTGTTGGAGGTGTCGGAAAAAATAAGACGTCTGGGAGCTTTCAACGAAAACGCTGCCAAAAACCCTTTGAGATATATATATATATATGTATATATATATATATATATATATATATATATATATATATATATATATGTATGTATTACAGAATTTTATGCACTAAATATCTATGCAGAAGACGCGAATAATATCTTGTTGTGGTGAATTACACTGTTACATTGAGTTCAGTTTACATTTCTTATATGATTAATTTTCCATTTAAGTTTTCATTGGTCATTAACTCCGGAATTTAACTATGCAATTTTTTCCGGCAAACGTGTATTTCACCCGACAATAATTGAAAGTAGCTTGTGCTATTCTTTCTCTCTCTCTCTCTCCCTCTCTCTTTAATATATGGGGCATTTCACGTGAAGCGGACAACGAAAATAAAGTGAGGTTGTGAAAATGGTTCATACTCTGGTTATAGTTCTAGTGGACATGGATGTGCAAATTTACATTATTTTTTTCGTATGAGGCTTTATTGCCGAGTTATGAGCTTTTAAAAATTTACGAAGTATGAAATCCGTACTTTTTGAATGCTCATTATTTGTATCAATCAATTTGTAAAAATATCTAAAAAATATCGTTTCTGAAAGTTAAAAGGATGCAGTTTTTAATTTTTTTATCGAATTACAAATTTGTTTCTTTTTACGTATAGTAAATCAGAAGTGACTTCGAGTGAGTTTGAGTAACTTCGACAATTTTTTTTTCAATATTTTAACTTTGAATTAAAGCTTTGAATATCTTAATTCTTCACAAAAAAAAATTTACGTGATCGCTAATAGTTTAGGACTTAGAGCATATTGAGTACATACACATAGCTAGGAGAATTTTCGTAGCAGTCATGTTTATGAGTTAACATGCTAAAATACTATGCTGTTACCATCTCATTCATTCATTTTAACATACATAAATATAAAAATATACGAAATTAATTTCTTTTTTTAAATAAAAATTATTGACAATACAAATATTTGTTATAAAATAACAAGTTCATATAAAGGAGTCATATCCGAAACGATAAGATTGTGAACGCCATCTCGTAGCAAAAAGAATAACTAAGAAATACGAGCACAATATCTATAGTCGATAATTGCTAGAAAGGGACAATCTGTTTTTTTTATAAGCAAGATTTTAACAAAGATGCAGTTACACTTTCATGCCTCAGCTCATGGAAAAGGGCCATGCGATGGTCTTAGGCGAAATCTTAAACGTCTGGCAACACGTGCCAGTTTACAGTCTACCAACAAAATTATCACCTTTGAGGTTGTATGAATGGGCAAAATCTTCGTTGACTGAAACGTCAATATACTACTGTTCGAAGGAAATTATACAACAAGAGCGAGACTTTCTACAAATCCGTTTTGCTTCCGCTATCCACAGTTTCAGGAACTAAAAAATCTTCATGCTTTTCTCCCAACCAATGAAGGTCTATATGTTAAAAGAACCAGTGCTAGTGCAAATAGTAAAATTGTAAAAATTACATAATAAAGTTATCTATTATAATTATTTCAATTTTAATCTCAATTAATAGAACCGTACCTGTTCCATATATTTACTTACTCGTATGATTTTAACTACTTTTAGCAGTATATTATTATATATAGTTGCGATTTATACGTACTCTCTTACTTCACACTCGAAATTTGTTAAAAAATTGTAGTGGGATTTTTTAACGAAAACTTATCTATTACACGTAATAAAATTGTAACTAAGCCGAATCTGTACATGAAATATTTTTTAAAAATTTTATTAAAATAGACATTATTATCGATATAAAGGCCGAATCTATAGTTTTTAGAATTTTTGTCTGTCTGTCTGTCTTTCTGTCTGTCTGTCTGTCTGTTATCGCATCACAGAAAAACTACTGGAGGGATTTAACTGAAATTTGGTATAGTGATAGCTGGTTATCCGGGCCAACATATAGGATACTTTTTACCTCGAGAAAATATCTCATTTCTAAGAAAAAAATACAAAAACTGCATTGTAAGAGTATACTAATATGTAAAACCTAAGAATTTGTTTTTTGGTCATCTGAACGCGGGCAGAGCCGCGGGCAATGGTAGTATATTACAAATTGCGAATTCTTACTATAAAAAAATAGAAATAAATTAATGGTAATCATATTTGTTAGCAGTTATATTTTATTTCTTAAATATCATTTTACAAAAAAAAAGAGTAAGTATAGTATGTTCTAAAGGCGACAGACTCAACCAAAAAAGTACTGGATTTGGCGCACTAAACTATTAGCGATCACGTCATAATTTTTTTTATGAAGAATTAAGATATTCAAAGCTTTAATTCAAAGTTAAAATATTGAAAAAAAATTATGTCGAAGTTACTCAAACATCAATTTGAAATCTTCCGGTTTACTATACGTAAAAAGAAACAAATTTGTAATTCGATAAAAAAATTAAAAACTGCATCCTTTTAACTTTCAGAAACGATATTTTTTAGATATTTTTACAAATTGATTGATACAAATAATGAGCATTCAAAAAGTATGGTTTCATACTTCGTAAATTTTTAAAAGCTTATAACTCGGCAATAAAGCCTCATACGAAAAAAATAATGTATTTGCACATCCATGTCCACTAGAACTATAACTGACCAGAGTATGAACAATTTTCACAAGTAAGGTTCACGTATTTCAAATGAACTAGTTCAATTCATAGACTAAGACAGTCCGTCTCGCAAAGGAAACTAGTAACTATAGACTGTCTAGCGTCTACAACTACATTGAAGCGTACGTGAACCACAGTCCACGATTTGAACTAGTCGATCGACTAGTCGACGAAAGAAAATGAACGGTCTAGTTTCGTTCACGCTAAATACGTCGACGACCCATCGCTAGTACTCACGTCTCACTGACAGACAGGACACCAGTGCTGCCATTTAGTGCTTTGGGCTCCAGATCTAGGACTTTCTTTGTTTTTTTTTATTATAATTTATAGTTCAAGAAAAAAAAATGTTAATTTAGCGCGAAGTTTAGCGTCTTTGTGCAATCCTAGCGCTGAATGAGTTTTTTGATTTGGCAACACTGCTGGACATAGTAATTAGTATTTGACGTCATCAATAGAGCATGCGCGCGAAATAGCAGCGTTTAAGCCGCTTAAAATTTTCTTTATTTTAAATATTTTTTTAACAGTATTTATATTTTTTCTATGTTATAACAGTGTAAATAGTGAATTAAAAATATAAAAAAAATATATGCATATTCCCTATTGACTTTTTTTGAAACCGGAGAACTATTTTTTTTATTTCAAAATGGACAGAATTTTGAGAAGTACTGTTCTACCAAAACTAGAGAGATTGTTGATGGATATAACACACTACCAATCCAGAAAAAGCAACAGTGTCCAATTCAAATTTATTTACATGTTTTAACATGAAATAATGCCATATGGATATTTTCAAATATAAATATATTATTCATCATTAATTTAAATTTAAAAATAATATGTATACATATAAGTTTATACATGTCTAAGCCAATTTTGGTGACATTTTGATTGTAATTGGAGATGAATTCAAAAATATATGATGAAAAAATAGAGTTATTTTATTGAAAATATGTGTTAATATTTTTGTAATAAAAGGTTAAGCCCTCATGAGCTATTTGGAGCTATTTGTTTACCTTTAGTTAACTACCTAAACCTATAGAGTATAGGTAAATATTGATTTTGTCTCTGAGCCTTTTCTCATTGTTATAGTAATGCACGATTGAGCTTATATGAAAGTTGTATATAATAACACAGTTAGGTTTTTAAGCTACCTACTTAGTTATTTTTACATAACACGTTTAGCAATATTTCTTAGAATTAACATATGATCTCAAAAAGAAGTGCAAAATTAAATTTCTCTGCAATCAGTGTAAACAGTTCATTTAGATTTAAAATGAAAAAAAAATGTAAAAATCCTAAATGAAACTATGTTTTTGGATTTTTCCGCAGATTTATTTTGATTTTTAGTTCCCCATTTAAAGAAATGTAGGGAACCAAAATAAATTTTATTTAAAATGTCAAATATTGTTCAAATATTGTATTGTTAAAAATTCTTGACAAAAATTTAGGTATTTTCATGACAACTTAGATAATGCATAGAAATACTGTGCTAGGATGCAAGATCAAGGCTTGTGTGTTAAATAATGTTTGTTTTATTATTGTTAAAAGATAAAAGGTATTTAATGACAAGTTTTCCAAGACTTACACTCATTGATTACTATATTATATGTTTTAATTGCTAATATAATAAATTACTTCTTTTTGTACAATTATAATGAATTGATTTTTGTTTTATTTACTGACAAAATAGGCACTGATAAGGAAATACGCCGGTGTTGCGTTTAATTTGTTTTGCTTAACCGTGGTCTGTCTTACGACGTTCGCACTTCGCGAAGCTTCCCGAAAACAAAATATGTGTTCGATCCCAAAAAAGATCTTACTTCTTTTTTAACTACTATTTCGAGATCATTTTTATACTTCACTATTAAAATTATAAGTTATTATTTAACACAATACAACAGATCAAATGTGATATGTATATTATATACACAAATGTACAGATAAGCGCATTACGCATTATTATTAAACTAAAAGCTTACAACTTTTTTCATGTTTTTTCTAATTCGTAATGTATTGTTTATTGACAAAAGATGAACAAAAGTGTAAAAACCGGTTTTATTTTTAGTTCAAGAATACGGTCACAGGACTTACCTTGCCCTTTGAGATTAATTTCAAGCGATTTCTCCCACAAATAAACATTAATATCTTAGTACGTTATTGTTAATATTTTAGTACGAAATATATAACACTTTATATAAATCTTACCTGGCCTTTCTTTCTAATTCACCGGTTTTTTCATTTCTTTTCAATATAAAAGGTAGTCTATTTGAAACAACAATCATGCTCCCCTTACTGTTGCACGTCGGACGACTGACAGTGACACTGACACTGTTTTGCATTGCACTCATGTTGTTAAAGTTCCGTTCAATTTCTGGCCAATCACAGGTACGCTACCGCGCGTGCGCATAAAATAGAGGGATATTTAAATATTCTGAATAACACTATTAATTTTATGTCATTGCAAGCGATGTTTAATATTATATTATGATCTGGACCGCGTAAATGATTACCATCATCGGCGGCAATCGAAGACGTACTGTATCTTTTGTGAGCGCCAGTTGCCTTTATAGATTTAGTTCACACACAAGGGTGAAGTTCTTACGTTTGTCCGAGTCGGAGGTCTGCAGAGCTGTCGTGGGGTTATCAAAAGTGAACTACTATCGAGGGTTGTCTCGACGTCAGAATACTGATTTTTTATTAGTCAATTTACGGGTTTAACATTATCCGAAGGTGATGATAACATTTATGTCTCATGCTTGTTGTATGTAGCTCCAACAAATTACTAATCACTTAAATAATTAGGCTAACATAAATCAAAACAGAATATAGATGTAACAAAGTTTTTGTATTTTATCTCAGAAATGAGATATTTTCACGCGGTAAAAAGTATTCTATATGTTGATCAGGACAACTAGCTATCACGATACCAAATTTCATCAAAATCCCCCCAGTGGTTTTTCCGTGATGCGGTAACAGACAGTCAGACAAAAATTCTAAAAACTATAGATTCGGCCTCTGTATCGATAATTATGTCTATTTCAATAAGATTTTCCAAAAAATATTTAATGTACAGATTGGGCTTAGTTACAATTCTACTATATGTATAGATATATGATGTATAGATATATGATTTCTTGTAATTTAAGCAATATGTGCGACCCAATTCCTTCGTTCACACAAACATTAAATTCCATAGGAATTATACATTATACCTACAGTTATACTACGACTGCATTTAATTAAGATGCGCGCGTGTAGGTCCATTATTATTTACAGATAACGCTAATAACTCAAAATTACATGTACATTAAATATATATATATATATATATATATATATATATATAAAACATAGAAAAAAATTGCTAAAACCGAGTCAGGGGGATGTAAGAAGAAAAATAGAACAAATTCAGATTTTTTCCATTTTTTTTGTTTCTCTGTCTGTCTGTTTGTACGAGCTAATCTCCAAAACTGTTGGGCCGATTTAAATGAAATTTTGCATGATGGTACCTTATATCCCCGGTCAACATTTTAGATACTTTTCATCCCCGAAAATTAAAGAGTTTCCGTGGGATAGTTAAAAAACTATAGTAACTTATACGGCTTAGTACACAAAAAGTACAGATAGGATTTTAATAAAACTATAAAATAATATAGTTCATACCTCAGAATAACAAATAGGCTACTTTTTATCCCTGAAAAATATACAGTCTATATATTTATATGAAAATTCTAACTAAGCCGAATCTGTATATTAAATATTTTTTTTAAATCTTATCAAAATAGACATTATTATCGATACAGAGGCCGAATCTATAGTTTTTAGAATTTTTGTCTGTCTGCCTGTCTGTTACCGCATCACTGAAAGACCACTGGAGGGATTTTGATGAAATTTGGTAGCTGGTTATCCGGGTCAACATATAGGAAACTTTTTACAGCGGGAAAATGTCTCATTTCTGAGAAAAAATACAAAAACTACAATATACTGTATAGTAATATGTAAAACCTAAGAATTTGGTTTTTGGTCATCTGAACGAGAGCGGAGCCGCGGGCAATGCTAGTAATTTATAAACGAAACGAATTTATCACGAAAATAGTCCCGCGGCAAAAAGTGGAACTAATTATGACAGGTCAGCCATATTGTCGTTGTCAGGTGCTGTTATCGTGTTCGGATGCAAAAAGATGTGATTGTAGATGTCTGAAACATACCCAACCGCTGACCATAATTATACAATTAAAATTTAAAATGTTTATATTATTTACTCTATCTATCCATTACAAATAATAGTAGACTTCTTCGTTCTATATTGCGATTACCTGCAGGTCTTGGTCTCTACGAAATATGTCTAGGTACAATGTATTATTTTAAAATGTGTATCAACTTAATACTTTCTTAGATTTACGCGAATATTTGACATTTTAAATAAAACTATCTTTTCGGATTTTGTCGCGGATTTATTTGTATTTTTGTTTCCCGACGTTTCGAATGCTTTACAGCATCCATGGTCACGGGAGAGACTGAGGTGTTACATGTCTTAAAGATATAGTTGTTACAGACAGCCTACCTATAAGTTTTGTAATAAAACCATGTAAACGTTCATATTACAACATCTTTTTTGTTTGAGACGAAAGAAAAATAAACGTGAATCATCAGAGAAATAATGTTTACTAAGAATGAAATATACACCACGTTTAGTGGAAATCACAATCTCCGGCTCTTATCTCTAATTAATTTATATTTAATTACTATGTAATTAAAGACAGGGAAAACATATGAGAAAGGGTGAAACACCTAGTTCTGTATGAAATGCGAAGACTGAAACTACCTACCTTTTAATCAAGCTACCTGCTAGTTAATTCAGAAATTAAGTCATAACTACCTATGTGACCTTAAAGGTCACAATAAACAAACACATTTTAGTACGGCTGTAGATCATTTTCATGATGTGTGACGAGCAAACGATGAATATGAAAAACAGTTACTGGGTTTTTACTGACAAATATTCTCAGATGTTTCACCTCCGTGCGTCGCGTTGTAGATTACATATTTTATATGCCATCGGCCCGGCCGTGGGCCGCGCTGCTTGATTTTTCACAGCACCTTTTACTTTCCATCGTATTATGAGTGCTAACATAGCACATACTTGTTGTCTTTGCGCTCATACTTTGGAAGGTATTGGTTCCTTCTGCTCGATTTGCAAATTTTCGTGAGATTTACCTAATTTCGGTCCGGAGGACTTTGTTTATTTAGTTTCGAATGATTGAAGAGGAGATATTAACCAATTCCAATAGTTAAACCCTCCACGACCGCGGACACGCCGGCGTGTCAGATAACAATAGATTTCTTAGAATTTTAATTAATTTCTTAGAAATTTACCTGGAGGTGTTAAGTTATAAAAAATATTGGTAGCTACACTTTCTATCGGTAATTGCACAGTGTGAAGGTAACTTAACACTATATGCCTAACCAGTTCGAAAGATGAGTACAAGAGTTAGTAATTATAGAAAATATATACATATTGCATACATATAATATAGTACACGTTTTAATTTTTTTGAGCGGAACCCTAAATCTTTTTTCTAAAATAAAAGTAGCCTGTGTTACTCCCTATAACATTAGCTGTCTTCCAGTGAAAGTCCCGTCAAAATTAGTCCAGCCGTTTCAGAGATTATCCGGAACAAACATACAGACAGACAAAAATTAAAAAAATGTGTTTTTCTTATAAGTACCGTATATAATTTCATATGCATTTAGTAAAACGCTGTTATTTTGACACTTCAATTTTATTTATCTGTATAGATTAAGAATAAACTAAATACGATTCAAGTATCTAACAACAAGCGATACCATTCAAATATCTAACAATAATATTCAGAAATAATAACTACACAGGTATTATTCCTGATTATTTTACTTTTGTATCGTAGGTACGGTTTTTAACACGTTTCAACAATCAACAATTTTCTGTATGCCTTTTATTATATTAAGCGAGAAAAGCTACCACTAACAAGCATCGATTGAACTTTATTAGTTGGCCTGTAGCCTGTAGGACTTTTTATGTGTAAACTATAGTCTGTAGATGATATTGGGTACTCTGGCTCTACGCTAATAAGTTATGTGACTCTGGCTCTGTGCATCACTAAGAAAGCTGATATTGTTTACTGGCAAGTATTAGTCCATTAATCAATTTGCGATCAAATAAACAATTTTATGGCTAAAATAAGATATAACTAGTTTAGAATCTATATAGGTTATTTAAAAGCAGCAAATTTTTTTCTGGATAAAAGAAAAAAGAGTTAGTTGAACTTTCTTATAAATTAATAACTTCATTAAAATAAAAGGTTGATTGGTATACAATATACATATATTTATTAGATTTAAAGTCCGTTATGTGATGGCTATGACACCCAAAAAACATTAAAAAAAGTTCTACTTCTTTTCTCTTTTTTTAAATTTATAGCTATCTTGATATTTATATGTTAAAAATGTTAATTAAGCTGTAGAACAGTAATTCTTATGGTTCAAACATAAATAGAAATGTACATACAGTGTACATAATATATCATAACTCTAGGTATAGTTAAATTGTTTATTTATGCATTTTACGAATTCTCGATATTTTCCACGGAGCGCCGGGTATGCATGTGTGTATAGCGTGTCATATGCATGGTGTACACGCGTCGCTTACGTGAATTAATAGGTACCTACTCATTAAGCGTGTTGTGAATGAATGCTATTAGCACACTGACTTAAATGTAAACACTTCTATATTTGTATATATGCACTTACATATACATATGTTTATATATTATATACTAGCAGAACCCGCGGCTTCGCTCGCGCTAAAACTACAGAAAAACTCTAAAAAATGTAGGCTTCATAAATAAACTTTCATCCCCTATTTTACCCTTCTTATGGGATCAGTTTAGAAAAATGCTAAAACATATTTAATTGTATTGAAGAGCATTTATTTATACCAAGTTTCAAGTAATTCTGATCATAAATTATTTTTGGGTTGGATTATAGCGTGTTTTACCATGGGAATGAGATTATCTCGCGTGGTAAAAAGTAGCGTATGTCACTCTCCAGCCCTCCAACTATCTCCACACAAATCATCACGTCAATCTGTCACTCCGCTTCGACGTGAAAGAAAGACAGACAAACAAACAAAAAGACACACTTTCTCATTAATTATAATATTAAGTATGGATGTACTTGTGGTGTCAAATGTACTTACGTAAAAAACACAACTTTGATATCAATAGTAATTTTTTTTTATGCAATAAATATTATATATGTATATGCGTAACCTAAGGACAACATTTATGTCCGCGCTCAGGCTCACAGC